CCTCCCCATATCTCCCTCCCTGGCTCCCAGTGCCGGGAGCCCCCTCCCACGTGATCCACAATGACATCCTGATCTCAGAGAGCACTGCTGCCCTGTTAGCAGCATGCCTGGTTCCTAGGTGACCCCTGAGGACCCATGAGGGACCAGGAGTCCTCATCCCACATCCCCTTCAAAATCCCTATGACACCCCCCCACCCAGTTGACGCCATCAACATACAGGTCCCTAGGTTGAGCTGCAGGGTACACGGTCACCATGCCAACCTTCCTGTCCATCATAACCCCCTGGTAGTCTGTTATTGGGGTGGAGAAAGGGTCCCGGGTACATCTAGTCAGTGGCAGGACACCCAGAACAGCAGTGTCACACATCCCTGGGCTCCAAGAGGGAATTGTGTGGACACACAGGACACTGGTGACAGGGCTCCAGGTGCCGTGGTCCTGAGTACAGGTGAGGTGGCCGAACAGGAGGCCCAAGGTTGTTGGTGCTTGGTCTACCTGGGACCTGGGGCAGGGTCACAGGGACACTCAATGAAATGGGGAGGCAGTGTCCCTGTGTACCCTGCTCTGGGCTCTACCTCCTGCTCTGGCTGATGCTGCCTATACCACTTACCAAAGCCCAGAGCTTCTTATACCCTGGCTCAGACTGGAGAGTGGTCAGGTTGGAGACCACTGTGAAGCAACTCTGAGCAGGATTTAAATTTTGCTAATTGGCTTTCTATGTGTATCTGTGAGTCTGTCCTAGGCCTAGGCCCATTGCCTGGCGATGGGAGCTGATTCATAGTAAGTGAACCTCTATGAATCACAAGTCCTGGCTGAGGCCTGTAGAGGCCAGAGATACCTCAGAGGGCAAGATAAGGCCACCACTGAGGACACTGGGATCCGATAACAATGAAGTAAATAGAAACTGCAGCTGAAGGAATCCCACTCCTGCAGTCTCCCTCCCACCATGTCATGAAGATGAGATGACTCTCCTAAATTGGCATAATTCACCACTTGGGGAAGTCTTTGAAGTGACTCCCAAGGTCCTGCTCATTTCCTGTGCTTTCCTCAGTTTCCTCTCTCTGTTTGAAAACCTGATAAATAAGGGCAGCCCAGAGAAGCCCTTTGTCTTAGCCCAGAGTCAAGAACTCTGCAGAGGGTTTTGATCCCCCTGGAGCCCTAAAATCATACCACTTGTCTCATTTGGAGGATTGTGGATCTAGGCCAGACCCCAATGCCACCCTTATTACTCAGCCTCTGCCAATTTCCACAGCGATGGAGACCCACAGGTCAGGCAGGCCAGGCAGCACGGGAGTGAGGATGAGGATGATCTGCAGTACTGCGACGGTGCATTTGATATCTATGACTTCACGACCCATGGGTCGTCTTCCTGCCTTGGCCCAGGGGGGCCCATTTGTGTCTGTCCCATAGGCCACCATAGGAAGATGTGAGCATTTGTCAGAAGAGAGGCAGGACCAGTGTGCTCTGAGGTAGGAGAATCTGACCTCCACTGAGAGGGAAATTAAAACTTTAAATAAACCTGCCAAGGGTGCCTGCTAAGACCAAGTGGGCATGTCCATGTCTGGACAAGCCTGATAACACTTTCCTCTCTTTGCATAAGCTTGTCCAACCGACGGCCTTACAGTGTAATAGGACTTTTCTCCCTTTGTATAATCCATGTTTTCTGTGGCTGATGGCCTTGCAACATAACCTGAAATATTTAAACTCCCTTGGTGACCCATGAAGTCACCCAACTCTCCACTGATAATGCTAAATCTGCCCTCTGTACCTCCCCCTCGAGCTCCCCATGGGAAACTCCATCGCGCAGGGCTCTGGCTCTTTAGGAGAGATCCCAGTCCAGCCCGCTGGTATAATAAACTGCCTCCTAAACCTCCTTGATGCTGCTGCTTCCCATGTTTGGTCTGTTTCCACAACATTGTGACCTTCTGGTTGCTAGAGGGGAACCAAACACCCAGAAAGGCAGTGATGGTTGGTATCCAGTGATCACCTGAGCCTGTACAGTCCGCTTTCTCCTTGGAGCAAGCTGAAGGAAGTGAGCGAATTCTGTGTGCCAGAATTCTCTCCTGGTCATTCCTGAGGGCCATTAAGGGGGCTACCTGTGCAGTTTCCTGGACTCCAACCTGGGATGGTCTGAGCGGGACCAGAGTGTGAGGAGAGGGGAGACAAGATGGGGAATCCAGTTGGGGGTCCCTGAGAGAAAGGCTTCTACCAGAGGAGGAGTGGGCCACATCTATGTTTCCTAAAAGACTGGTGGCCATGGGAGGGTCAGTTGGAAGGGGAAGGATGCGGCCAGGGGGCAGTGCATAGAGGAAGCATCCTAGGCAGCCTGGAGAAGGCAGGTGGGAGCCTTGAGCAGGTGTGCACAGAGGGGCAGGGGGATGGGTCCAGGCAGCACCCCAAGGCTGGAGCTGGCGAGAGGAGCACATGAGCTCATGACCACCCTCCACCTCAGGGCTCAGGATGGTGTCACCCTGCTGCAGGGGACAGAGGTTGCATCCCTCCCCGGACATCGAGACCATGGTAGCTGCTAGAACACAGAAGCCAGAGTCACTGTGCTCTGAAAACAGAGAAGACAGCCCACCTCTGCCCTGAAGTGGTGTCAGCAAAATTTAGATGAGGAGCAGGTAGGTGAGTCTGCCCCTGTCTCCTGGAAAGCAACGAACGGGCTGAATCGAGGGGCCACAGCACAGATCTTCCTGCCTCCCCTTTCCTGTCCTCTGCTGTCTGCCAGGATCTGTGGAAATAGCTTTTCACTGTATTTAGGAAATGATGGCAAGAAAAATGTCTATTTATGAACAGGGCGTGTGCAATTTGTAGGTGTTTTCAACCAGCTTTAGGTGAATGGATGGATGGAGAAGCCGGGGATGTGGAGACAATGGCACCATCTCCTGGCCGCACAGTCTCCACGGGGACTCCTCCTCCCCACACAATTGAAGAGCGCTCATTCTTGCTTTGCAGATGGCCTCCCTGTGTCTCGCTTTCAAGCCTCTGATTACAGTGTCTCGCTCTGGGCTCCTTAGCCTTCTCCTGCGCGGGTGGACTGGAACTGCAGAAGAGTCTGATTCATGAAATCTGAGGACGTGTTGGGTTACCAATTCTTCAAGGAATATCTCTACTCCTTTCTCTTTCACTTCGGAGATTCTTTCACGGTCTATCTAGGTCCACTTGATGGCTCCCAAGCCATTCTCTGTCCTCCATCCGTCCATCCATCCATCCTTACCTCTGTCTGTCTGTCACAAAAACAGTCTACCATTATCACACTAGAAAGCATTAACACAGAGGAGAGGCAGCTCTACCTGCAGGAGGCACAGAGAGGTGGGGAGCCCAGTGCCCTTGCTGGCCCCACCTTAGAGCACAACCCCCACTCACTGCTCTCTCCTCACAGGCAAATGCTCAGGTCTCTCGGGAAACAACTTTGGAGGTGAGCACATGCCTTTCTCCTTGGGGTGGCTGCAGGGAGCTGGCTGCACCCCAGGGAGCTCTGCATGCAGACCCCATGGCTCCCCAGCCCAGTGCCCCCTGGTCCCATCCTGATCCTGTGCATGGGCACAGTGCCCACCTCAGCATGGCTCTTACAGGACAGGAGGCTCCGTGGGTCCACGCAGGAGGCTTGGTCACTCTGGGCTGCTTGGACCTGCACTGGGCTCTGTGTGCAGAAGGAGGAAATCCAGGGCCTAAGCAGCCTGAGGGCCAGCGTGAGGAGCACACGCTGTCGAGGGCACAGACCGTCTTCCCTTTCTCTGTCCCCATCTCCCATTGCCCCCGTGCTCCTGGGCCTGCATCTCAGACCACGCAAACAGCTGCGTGGCCCAGGACAGACATCCCACTGCACTGTGGGCTGGCAGCACTGGGCAGGAGTGGTGGGGCTGGACAGAGATGGCACTGGAGGGGGAATGGGGTCCTCTGTCCAGGACTCTGCTCAGGAGCAGGAAGCGAAGACACCCTTGCCTGGCACCTCTGTAGGAGGGGCTACCGCTGCCCATGCCCAGGAATGAGCCGGATTTAGTGAACGGGTGACTGTGCTGTCCTCTGGGTGGCAGATGTGCAGCCTGGGGGGCAGCGAGGGTTCGGGTCACTGGGAGGAAGGACCATGAACCCCTCTTTTTTCATCTGTACAATGGCTCTGGGAGAGGTGCATTCTCACTCTGGGGACTCTGGGTGGAGGGTGCTGGGATCTGGGTAGCTGCCAGGAGCGCCCTTCCTGCCTGTTGGGTGAGCCTAAATCCCACGGTGGAGCAGAGGTTACAGAGGAGGAAACCACGCCCCTCCACCACACCCATTAACCGCAGAGATGATCATGCTAGACCCCCTCTGGGCTTCCGGAGAAGTGGCAGAGTGACCAGCCAAGCAGCAGGCTACCAGGGCCCAGCATGGTCCATGGCAGGGAGGCAGGTGACTGTGGAAGGGGCAGGGTTCAAATCAGCAGGGTGATGATGTCATGCATGGAGCCTGGCTGAGTGGGGACACCCCTGTCACCTACATCTCCCCGGAGCCTCAGAAGTCTGTAACACAGCCAGCACCCTCATCCGCTGATGGAAACTGAGGCACGAGTGGGCGGGGCTGATTCCCAGGCCTACCACACTAACTGCTTTCAAGGTCAGAGTTGTTGGATTGACCGAAATGCTGCAAATGACCCCTGCATGTCCACCGCGAGCCACTCCACCATAGCCTTCCCCTGCAGACGTGGAGGCAATGTGGTCACCGATGTCCACACTGATGACAAACCCAGCTGGGCCTCTTCACCCTGCATGTGCCTTAGAGCAAGTGACTGAAGAGCACAAACTCAAGTACTTCGTTTGCCGTTAAACTAGGAACTGTGGTTTTCACGGAGGAACTGACATTAGCACCGGTGTTTCCCAGCCCTCAGGGATGGATGAAGACAGCCTGCTGGCAATGGGGACCCCATGCACCGCAGCCACAGGGCAGCAGGGTGCATGACCTGGGGGTGCAGAATAATCACCTCTCAAACAGGGGAGCGTCTCCCAGGGACGGGCCCGTGCTGCTCAGCAACAAAATCCAACTATGATTTATTAGAATCCATGGCTCCACGCCCGCATCCAGTCCAGCAGCGAAACCTCTCATCCATGCACACGGGGCCTGGGGAGGGCTATGGGGCTGGGAGAGAGAGCGTGGGCCTGCAGGCCATGTGGGCAGAGTTGGGGAGCAAGGGCAGCATCCTGGAGGGGGGCCTGCCACTCCTGGCTGTGTGGTGGTGGCACTGGGAGCAGTAGGCCAGGGGGAGATTGTCCTGGCTGGACTGAAGGCCGATCCTGGGGTCCCAGGATCCCTCGGCACAGAGCATCTTCAGGAAGTCAAAGTTGGTGCAGCTTCCCTGGAGGGAGGACAGAGGCAGGAGTTGGCCGAGTGCCCTGGACCCAGGCAGAGGCTGCAGGTGGCCGGCTGGCGGCAGGGCCTGGGTAAGACCCTTCCCTGGTACTGCCCTGCAGCCACCACTGCTCCCAAAGCCAATGAAGACATCTGAAAACAGCCAGGCTGGGGGCTGACAAGGGTGCTCACAGGGGTGCAGGTTCACAGGTTTGTGACCAGGGATAAGTCCCCGAAACTCTGCAGGTTTCTGCCTCTGACATAAGCTGGGAAAGTACCTGAAACTTCACACAGCTGCTTGGAGGATTCATCAGGAACCAGTATAGCACAGCACTGGCCCACAAGAGGTCTCAGGGAATGCCAGCCGTCGGCATCACTCGTAACCAGAGGATTCCTCTGGGTCCCACGCAGGGACAGAGATGGACCGGCACATCCCTTAGCACACGGCCCACCTGGGTTCTGAGCCACAGCCCCAGAGGACAGGGGTCTGAGAACAGTGGCCACTGTGCCTACCAGGAGCGTCCCTGTGTTCTCCTCACCTTGTCACTGGGCTGAGACCAGATCAGAGGCACTTGGTGGCAGCGGGGGTGACTGAAGTTGCACATGGTCACGGTACCCTAAAAAGCACACAGGATATTATGGCTTGTGTCTAGACGTCCCCCAAAGCCTCACGTGGTCAGAAGTGGGGCTTCTTCAGAGGTGGCTGGATCTAGGGTGTGTGACGCTGGGGTGAGGGGTGGGTGATCACTAAGTCAGTCTCCTGATGGGTTTGGCATAGTTTTGGGTGTGGATAGTGGGCAGGCCCACCCTTCATATGAGTATCACCCCCCTCGGAGTGTGTACCCTGGATGGATCAAGGATGGATAAAGGACAGAAAGATAGTCGTTTGCTGCTTCTGTTTCTGCTGCCTTCAGGCTGCCATGAACTGTTTCCCCTCTGCGATGCTCCTCCACTATGCTGCCTACCTTGGAGCCATCTCGGGGTTTGGGCCACAAAGAAGCCAGCAGCTGGCATTGGAAATCACAGGCACATGAGTGGAAAACAGAGGCGTCAAGGGGATAGCGTGGCCTGAGGCTGTACAAGAGCCCCAGGAAAGGGCAGCTGGGCATGCGGAGGGCAGTGGAGGTCCAAGTTCTCTGCAGGGGCTGGTGCTTGAAACCAAGGGAAAGGACAAGAAGGCAGAGAGGGGACAGCAGGAGCCTGGCCCAGGGTGGGGGCACTCTGGCTACCTGAGGAACTGCTGTCCTTCTGGGCCCCTGGGTGGGTGGGGATGTCCCAGCAGCCAGAACCCACCACTGGCAGTGGTGCCCTCCTCTCCCCAGGGGAGGATTGGCTTCTCACTGTCCCCAGCAGGTGGTGGGGCAGAGCTGGCTCCTCAGCAAGGCGGTGGGGGCAGAGGCATGGTGCTCCCAGGAGGAAGCCACAGATCCCTGGGCTGGGACAGGCTGGGTTGGAGGGAGGGGGAGCCCTGCTGGGTGCTGCCCTCCCTGGCCAAGGTAGAACATCTTGAGCTGTCCTGGATACCACCAGATCCCCGCACAGCTCACTCAGCCACAGCCCTGCTGGTCTCCAGAGCCCCTGTTCCCCACAGCCCCAGTCCAGGTCACAGGCCCAGCCCCTCACCTCCAGGCCTCTGTTCACACACACGCCGCGGCACGCACAGCAGCACACGATTACAATGGGGCACACGGTGACAGGGGACACCGAGGGTGGCGGAGGAGGTGGTGGAGGAGGAGGCTGACCACCAGGTTTCTTGACTTTCTGCTTCTACAAGAGAAATGCACCCACCCACATCCCTGTCTGCAGCCCCAGGGGGCAGGGAAATTGGGCTCTTCCCTGGTACCTGAACATGGAGTCATCTACGGTTTTAGGGTGACACAAAGGGCACTGAGCAGCACCCCAGTGACGGGAGGGCCCCACATGAAAGGACAGTCAAACTCCCCTGGTCTCCAACTGCCCCAAGCCCACAGCAGGGCCTTGGTCTCCCGAGGCTGCCCTGGCTGGCAGAAGCCTGGCTGGGTCTGCAGGGATCAGGGCACTGGCCACCGACTGTCCCCTCCCCCTGGCAGATGCCACCTCCTCAGGCCACGATGCAGACAGCACAGGTCCCAGGCAGCACCCTGCTTCCCACTACCCCCAGCTGGTCCCCTGGCCCAGGCACTCAGCACTTCTGGTCCAGCCCAGCTGAGCCCCAGGCTGCCTCCCACCCCATCCCTGTGCTCCCCTGGGGGCGCCCTCACAGCCCAGCCCCCAGACACCTCCATCCTCAGCCCTGCAGCCCTGAGGTTGCACCCAGCCAGCCCTGCCCTGCAGGAGGTGGGCATGAAGACAAATCCAAAGATGCTCATCAGGCAGCCAGGGCACACACGGGGCCAGTGTGCCCTTCCCAAAGCCCTGAGCCCTCAGATCCCAGAGGCACCTTTGGGATCACACAGCCAGGCAGGTCAGTAGGGACGGAGACTACCGGAACAGGCCCCAAGGTGCTGGGTCTGTGACAAAGACTAGGGCAGCAGGACATGGAGCCAGGGCTGCTGCCCGGGGACTTCACGGAGTCCCCTGCCCTGCCCTTGCCCCGTCTGCTTCACCCGGTGGGGTGGGGCATCTGGGGCACAGGCTTTGGTGCCTCACATGAAGCACAGTGTCCCCCACGGGCCTGGGACAACAGCAGGACGCAAGGCAGGACTCACTTTTTTTGGCTTGGGTGGAGGTGGAGGTGGCTCTTCCTCAACCTGGAACATAAAAAGCCCCAGCTTCCTGTGAGGGAGCTGGCCCGGTCCAGGGTCCTGGGGTGGCCTCTCCTGTGGGATCCCAGCCCGGCTGGGGTCTGTTGGGTCAAGGCAGCCGGGAAATGGCCTCGGGCTGGAACAGAGAGACTCACCTTCCTGCAGCACAGCCACCAGCACCACCAGAGCAGCACTGGGATGAGCAGCAGGCCCAGCACCTCCGTGAGGAGCAGGAGGGTTTCATCTGATACCAGCAGTGCTGGCAGTGGTACCGACTCCGGTACTGGCACTGGTACTGGCACCGGTGCCAGCTCCGTTGTTGGCTCTGTTGCTGGCTTTGTGGCCCGGGGTGGAGAAGTCCGCTTGGTGCTGGTGGTGGTCCGGGGTCTCTGTCTCGTGACTGGGGTCGTGGTCTTGGGCAGGGTTGTGCTGGTGACATAGGACTCGGGTAGGAATGGCTGTGGAGAAAGCAGTGTCCGTGTGCCAGCACTGGTGCCAGCAGGCAGCCCTAACGGCAGGTGCCTCAGGACCCAGAAAGCTGAAGGTGTTATTTGGGGGAACTGCTGAGGACCCTGGGTTCCCCCAGGACTCGTGGTCCCCCTCCCAGGTCTGTCCTGGGCTCATCCCGCCCTCTCTGAGCCTCAGTGGGTCCCTTCACACAGGGTAGGGAGCCCCCTTCTGCCGGGGCACTTGGGGGCTCCGGCCCTATGCACATGGTTGAAGGGATGGGGCTGTCCCCTGGTTGTCAGAGTGAAGGGGCTGTCTGCCCAGCCTCCCTAGTCACACGCTGGGTCTAAGGAGGCTGCAGAGGGGACTGGGCTGAGAGCACGGGCAGCAGGGAGGGGACGGGGTGGCCGTGGGCTGGAGGAGCCCAGATGTGCTCCTGTGTCCTCTCCTGGCGGTGCTGTCCTCCCACAGCTGTCCTGGGTGGCCCTGAGGTCGGCTGCTGCCCTGGAGACCAAGGCAAGTGCTTGGAGACTGTCACTGTGGGTCCTCACGGGCTGAGCCTGGCTTCCTCCTCCAGGCAGGTGAGGGCTGGTGACAGTGGCCAGGAGAAGCCAGCTCTGGGAGCAGCACTTCCCTCCCGGGGTGTCCGGCTGTGCTGCACTGAGCAGATCACATATGGACAGCATCCCAAAGGCAAGAAGGAGGAAGGCTCTGTGGCTCCATCAGCCACAGAGGGGCTGATGGGATCTGAGGGAGGAGAGGGGCAGGGAGAGGGCAGAAGAAGAGGCCAATGACAGGGCTGTCCCCGTGTGGGCTTCAGGCGGGGTCCTGAGTGGCTCTGGGACCACTTTCACATCTGGAGCACTGATATAGTGACACGAGCCCCTTCCCTAGCCAGTGGAACTGGATTCCTATGCCTGGAAACCCACATGCAGAACCCAGCTTCCTAGACCCCAGGGTGGGGCAGAGGTCTGACTGCATGGGACCCTCTGCCCAGCCTCTCCAGGAGCCCGTGTGCCCAGGGCAGGGCTCTCCCTGGCCAAAGTGCGTGGCACCCAGCACTCACACAGTCCTGGACAACCGGCACCTTGATGCTGTGGACCAGAAAGTCCCTCCTACTGTTCAGGCTGAGTTCCAACTCGACGTTCCTAAGGCACCGAATGGACAGACAAGAGACCCAGCCTAAGACCCAGCACTGGTGCCTGCAGACATCCCTAACGGCAGGTGCCTCAGCACGCAGGAAAAGAAAGGTGTTCAAGGGGGAGAGACCAGAGGAAAGCCACATGGGTCATAAGAGTTGCTGCCCCAAACCACTGCAAGGTCAGCTCGCAGGGGTGCGGCTTGGGCAGTGAGCGGCCCCCGTGGCCCATCCTGGCCACAGCTGAATGGCAGAGAGGTCTGCAGGGCGTCACTGTCCTCGCTTCTGTCCTCGCTGTGTGATCCCAGCCAGCAAGGGAACCCAGAGGAAAGGCTCCCGGCCCAGCCTCTTCCACATCCACCCTCAGCAGTGCCCGGGCCTCTGTGTGTCCCCGGCACCTTGGCGTCATCACAGGAGCAGGTGGGGAGGGCGCCCCAGCCCGGAGCAGGCAGACCTGTGCTGCCTGGATGGGAACACCCAGAGTCAGGACATGAGAGGGTGACAAACACAGGCTACACTGTCCCAGGACCCAGAACCACGGGCACTCACAGTCCAGCTTTTAGTTGCTCTGGTTGAGGACAAATTATGGTAGTCATGTTCCTCCAGAGTGCACGCTTATCTGAAAGAAAAATATACCGGATGATGTCCATGCACAAGGCCATCTGCTTTGTGACCTGCTGCTGTCCCAGGAGCAGTACTGTCATCCCACTGCTGTGGTCATTTTGGGGAGTATGTGGAACCAACTTGAATTACAGTCCTGACCAACCGCGTATGCTTCTCAAGCATCGCCAGGCACGCTATCTTCCTCCGAACTCCAAGTCTCAGATTAGACCAAGCAGAGGAGGAGCCGCCAGGGAATGGTCGCTGGGCAGAGGGACGTGGGAAAGGCAGTCATCAAGCCCTGCGGCCAAACTACCAAAGGCTGGAGAGTGAGCCAGGTGCACTGGGTGGGATGGGCCAGGGAGGGCTTTGGGTTTTATCCCAGCTGCAAGAAATCTTTCGGGGGCCGCACAGATTAGATTTTGTGTGTGTTTCAGGACTGGCTGGGGAACTGGGTGTGGGGTGGGGGTGAAAGAAATCATTGATGGCATTTGGCTTTTTTCGCGTGAGTCCCCCGTGCAGGGCATTGTCGGGTGAAAATAGCCCCTCGTGGCCTCTCAGTAACTGAACTAGGTCGGCCTCCAGGACATCACTGACCCTCTGGCCACCAGGTGGCACCTGAGACACGTCCATCGTCCATGGCCTGCCTTTGCATGCCTCATCTTTCCCCTTTATACCCGTCCTCCCTCTCTGCCTCCTCCCCTCCTTCGTGCCCTCTTTTTTCATGTCATCTTTTTCAGATTCCAGAAATTAGGAAAAACATGATACTTATTTGACTCTGGCTTCACGATTTCATTTTCATCCGCTCTCCTGTAAATGACATAGTTTTGTTTTCTTTGGCTCAGTAATACTCTGTTCTGTACACACTTTCAATTTCTGTATCCATTTATGTACCAATGGGCACCTAGGATGGTTCCGTGTGCTAGTCATTGTGAACTGTGCCACGTAACGTGAATATGTAGGTGAGTTTGATTCCTTCGGGTATATGCTGTATTAGGGTTCCATAGGACAGAATCAATAGGAAATATATGCATAATCACACAATGCCCGAAATTAGGAGGGAAAGGTGTATTTGGCTCACAGTTTGTGGAGGTTTCAGAGCGTAACTAGCCACAAACCGTAACATGGACTCTTCCTCCTCTGATCCTGTGTGGGCTTCTACAGATTGAGTCATGGTCCAGTGCTGGGGTTGTGGGTGGCCTATGTATAACACAAGGGACAGACAGAGTCATCTCTCGTACTCTTCTCTTTTTGCTCTTGTTGTTCTTGCTGTCTTCTGAAGCCATGAGCCACCCTGCCTTGGAGCCAGCTGGTTATGGACTGAAACCTCCACAAACTGTGAGCGAAATAAACCTTTCCCTCCTTAATTTCAGGCACTGGGTATTTTGTCTCAGCAATGACAGAAAAGTAACCAAGACAGTCTACAATAGCTTGTTGTGGGATCAGAGGTACTGGACACCAGAGGATCCAAAATGTGTTTAGCCCAAGAAGATGGAGGCCACAGAATGAAAGAGATCAAGGATGCAGTTCAGTCCTAGGGTGAAGACCTGGAAGTCCACTGTGGAGTCACTGGTGTGACTACATTGGAAGTTAAAGAAACTGGACACCCATGTCCAGGATGATGGTCAAGAATGGAGCTTTTCCAAAAATGTGAGCACTTCTTTCTTTTCCTCTTTATTCCATCTGGGCTACACATCCAATGGTTGGCACCAGCCACAAGTGGGTGGGCCTTCTTCTCTTAGTGGTCTGGCTCACTTGTCAATCATCCACAGATGCATCCATAACTGTGCTTTGCTGATCTGCTAGGTGGTTGTCAACACATTCAAGCTGGCACATCACACTGAACAATGGCAGTCCACTCCTTGTCAGCTTCAAAACCAGATGCAGCTCCTTAAATTGTGCTTAATCTCTAAATACAGTAGCAAGCTCATAATTGTGCCTAACATGATATGTGTACATGTACCTGTTCTGCATACAAACAGAAATATACTCATTTCCTCCCAAGAATAGGAGGCAGAATTTGAGGGAGGGGAGAGTTATGCTTCTGACATCCTGAAACTTAAACTTAAATATTATAATATATATTTATAATTCATAAGTATCAATATTAGCCAATATTATGTTACAAAGAAGATGACGATCTGCTTAAAATATGTGTATATAGCACAGATCTTTTAGCAAAAGAGGAAATAAATGCTCGTGACAGTTACAATTCTTATATCTGTAACTGGTCACAGTCATGGCTGGTATTTGTAACCACCTTCTTCAACCACCTATTCTCAGTTCTCTTGGCCTTCATTAAAGGCCTCCCCAGATTTTGAATCTTTACCTCGTGGGGTGACCCCTACCTTCACTCCTGAGATTGAGGTTATATCCTGCCCGGTCTGGGTGCTTATAGTTTCCCACTGACCTTCATAACAAGGCCTGGAGATGCTGGGAGACTTCCTAAGGGACACTCCAAGCACAGTCTGCCTTACCTCCCTGGTGGAGTAATGGTCCGATTTCCCTTTAGCCGTCTGGATCAATCGCCCCACCAATACCATGATTCCTTTTTCAGTTTGTTGACTCAGAAGCATGAAACCAAGCTGGCAGGGGAAAAATCTGAACTTTCAGTGCAATTGAGTAATTATTCTGCCTCCCGATACAAGACTTTCCCCCTCTGGAGCTAAGACTTCTGGGCCGGCAGAGCATAAAGTCACAGAACAGGAAGAAAATTATTAGAAGGGTAATGGTGAGTGGTAACTTTCCCCTTGATTTCTGGAATCATGAAGCCTGGGTGACACAGAACCATACAGTGGATGCTGATTCCAAGCATATACACCTTTCTGAGGAACCGTGCCTCAGCCCTGCAATGTAGTGCCACCTAGCTGGTACGGGCATTACAAAAAGCCACTCTAGTGCTCTGCCAATCCAGCTGCTCCAGGATGGTGAGGGACGTGGTAAGACCAGGAAATTCCATGAGCATGAGCCCACTGCCTCACATTTCCTGTTCAGAAGCACGGCTGCAAGGACACCTGGCTGAAGCATCCTGGAAATCTAAGGATGATAGTTTTGGTAGAAGCATTGCATGCAGGGAGGCAAATCCAGGTAAGTGTCTATGACAGTAAGGACAAAGTACTTCCTTCCCATTCTGGAAGTGGCCCAGTATAATCAGCCTGTCAGTCGATGGCAGGCTGATCGCCCCAGGGAAGGGGCCGTACCTCGGATTCTGTTGGTCTCTGCTACTGGCAGATTGGACATTCACTAGTGGCTGCAGCCATTAGATCACCCTTGGTGAGTGGGCGTCTATGAGGCTGAGTCCATACACTATCTCTATCCCTGCCATCATGATCATTTTTTTACAAGCTATTGGAACAACAACATGAGGAAAGAGATTGATTACTACCCACAGAACGCACCATCCTATCCACCGCATTATTAAGGTCCTCTCCTGCTGAGGTCATCTTTTGGTGGGCATTTACGTGATACACAAATATCTTCACATCGTTCACCCATATGGAGGGGTGAACCCATATACCTCTCCCCCAAATGTCTTTGTCACCAGTTTTCCCCTCATGTCCTTCCAAGTCACTGACCAGCCAGCCAGATCACTGGCTAAGCCCATGAACTGGTTTATAGATCCACATCTGGCCAATTTTTCTTCCAAGCAAAACATACATTCAGGTGCACTGACCACAGTTCTGCCCACCAGTGAAGATTTTCCTTCACCATTGTCTTTCAGGGGTCCTAGAAAGGGGGTGTAGTAGCTACAGCTGTCCACTTTCAGGTAGTGCCTGAATAGGGTGCAAAACCATCTGTAAACCAGGCTGGTCTTCTCCTCCTGACAATATAGTACATCCCATGAAGCCATGGAGCAGAAAGCAGTGCAGTGGGAGGAGGAACCATGACTTTGGGGTCACTTCTTACATAACTTGGGCCTGCTTGGGCCTGAGCACATATGCCTGAACTACTTTCTTTTCATGATGAACCATTGCCATAAATGTTTAACTTTCTGTCTGGGTGGGTCAGATGACACCCAGTTTATAATGGCCAGCTCAGCTCACATGGTGACCTGGTGTCCCATGGCCAAGTGTTCAGTTTGCACCAAGGCTCAGTAGAAGGCCAGGTGCTGTTTCTCAAGCAGGAATTAATTTAGTTAGTTTTCTGTAGGTGACGGTGGAGCATGCTCCAAATTCCTAATGAGTCTGCTGCATTCCACCTATCGGTATCTGACAGACTCCAAGGAGCACCCCTCTCTGCCACTGATACTTCAAGTCCCATTGGATCTGCCAGATCATACGGCCTGGGTGGCACTATAGCCTGCAGAGCTCCCTGGATCTGTTGCTGTGCCTTCCCTTGTTCTGGGCCCAACTCAAAACTTGCAACTTTTGGGGCCACTTGGTAAATGGCTTAAGAGTCACTGTGCCTCTTTCTTGATTGTAGGAGGGGACAGATGCAACCACTTCTCCTTCGCTTTAGAAAGGACGTCTCTGTATGCCTCATGCCATTGGACTCTAAGAGATCTCACTGAGCTAGAAGTCTCTTGCATATTACTTACATTTGTTTTCTGTCTTCTGACATGCAAATACTTTACCAACAAGTCCAGAGGGGTCTTTGTTCAGTTTGTCCTACTAGCATGTGATCAGTGTAATGACCAGTGTGACACCTTGTGAAAGAGAACTGTGATTGTGATCTCTGAAAACTAATTTGTGCCCCAGGGCTGGAGAGTTTATAGACCCCTGGGGCGCACTGCTGACCTTATCAACTGAAAGAATATTCTGGTGAACCTTATGGATATTAAGGAGCAAGGACCTTTGCTAACTCAATAGCTGCATACCAGGCACCAGTAATTTAATCTGCTTGAGCAAAGAAATGATCTCTGGTAAGAGCTGCCATGGGAATCACCACTCAATCAAGCATATGATAATCCACCATCATTCTCCAAGATCCGTCTGCTTCTGCACAGCCCAAATAGGAAAGTTAAATGGGGCTGTGTTGGGGGGCTTCCCCCTGCATCTTTCAAGTACTCAGTGGTAGTAATCTGCAATCCCTGCAGATATGCTTATGATTCACTGTTTTCCTAGACAGTGGCAATTCTGCTGGCTCCCACTTGGCCCTTCCCACCATAATAACGCTCACACCACAGGTGAGGGAACCAACATTACATGGGCCTAGATCAAATGCCAAGTATATCTATCCCAATTACACACCCCATAGCAGGATGGATTTGGGGAATCTCCTGGACCCACAGTGAGTCAGCTCTTGACTCAAACTCCACTGGTCACCAGGCCTCCGTGGGCTCCTACCCTCACTGGATGACCACAGTGATATTTGGGACCTCCTGGAATCTGTTAGTTCAGAACTATTTTCCAGTAGCCCCCAAATGTCTAATCATTTCCTTTCCTCAATTTAGGGTTACCCAGATAAAAGGCTACAGATCATTCTGGGAAAGAATGGGAAGCAGATTGACAACTTGAATTTTGGTAGTGCCCCAGGCTGCTACCTCTGGGGAACATGGCCTCCCCTTGGCTCAAAGGGTTAGGTTGTGGAAACTGCCTCATCCAGGAGCTTGTTGAGGCTCATGACTCCTGTTGTTATCATTTAAGATAGATTTTTGTTCATTTGCCCTTAAATTACATAAATCCAGTAAAATGTAGTAGATACCCTACCTACTTCAATTCTGGGAACGCCATGATGAATGAACCAGCACCCTAGATTCGTGTGTGACAGACCATTTTGACAATTGCTTTGCTTCCGTTGTCCTTTATGGGAAGCATCCCCACCTCACCTCTGGCTGCCCAGGGCTCCACTTAGCCCCTGCCATGCTGGGACACCCCTTGCCCTTAAGTTTCCTGTTGAATGGCTGTGATTCCCCACTGCCACATGAGAGAAGAGCATCGAGGAACTTTGCAAGGATGCCAACGCTCCCTCCGCAAACCTGTTTCTTAAGATGATTCGTGAAGGGTACATATTGTGGACTTCCCAGGGTGAAGGCGCTCGATATGGCAAATCCACTCAAGCATTCCCAGTTCCCTGAGGCCTTGAACACCCTCACCAGCAGCAAACCAAGGGATAACAGGCATCTCCAGCTCCTCCCAGAAGGACATCTTCTGAAGCACATTTCAGCCAATCAACCAGACTATTAGCACCTTTCTGAACTCCCCAAGCTGCTACATTAAAACTAAAATCTCTATTATATGAGCCTATATCAAAATTTTCAGCCTGTTCCAGTTTTCTATTTCTTCCACCATCCTCCCACACTCTTTTATTTTAAAGAGAATAAAATAACAGAGAACAGAACAAAGCAAATTAGAACCGAACAATGCAAGCAGCACAGCACTTCACAACAAGACAACTGGATATTAACAGTAGCTAACATAATGTCTCTTTTCTTTGAAATAGTTGAGCATACCTTCACATACAATAGTGTCAAACATAGCAAAATAGTATAAAAACATTCAAGAGAATGAAAGCATTACAAGACTTCAAAACCAAATAACAGGAAATGAACAATAGCTACTATAATATCTCATTTCCTTAAAAATTTATTTATATCATCACACATAATAAAATCTAATAAGACACAACAGGATAGAACCAATCAAAACAGAAGAACAAAAGCACGATAGGACTTCAAAGCGGGATGACAGTAAATCAGCAATGGCTGTCATAATGTCTTGTTTTCCTCAAAATAGCCATTCATACCGTCACACATAATAAAATCAAACAAAGCAGAATAAAATCCATCAAACCAATGAAAGAAATCACTGTAAGATTTCAAAGCAATATAATGTGAAACTATGATTACCATAATATCTTACACTAGGGAGACTGTCTGGTATTTACACATGTAAGTCTGATTTATTTCACTTATGAGTATGATCTCAAGTTGCATCCATTTACTTATAAATATCTCAATGTGATCATTCTTTATAGCTGAATAGTACTTCGTTGTATAAAAATACCACATCTTTTTATCCACTCTTCAGGTGATGGACACTTAGGTTGTTTCCAAGGTTTGCTATTACAAATTGTGCTGCTATAAACATGGGTGCATATATATCACTGACTTATGATGTTTTCAGGTTTTTCTGGGAATATGCTCAGAAGTAGAATAGCTGGGTCAAATGAGACTTCCAATGCCAGCTTTCTGAGAAATCTCCAGACTGACCTCCACAGTGGTTGCCCCAGTCTACACTCCCGCCACAGTGTAGGAGAGTTCCTTTTTCCCCACAGCCTCTCCAGCATTTGTTGTTGGTGGTTTTCTTGATCCTGGCCATTCTTTCAGGAGTGAGATGGAATCCCAGTGTGGTTTTAATTTGCATTTCTCTAATGGCTAATGATAATGAACATTTTTTCATGTATTTATTTGTCATTTGTATTTCTTCATCTGAGAAGTGCATATTCATCTCAGATGCCCATTTTTGGATTGGGTCTTTGAATTTTGGGGGTATGATTTTTTTTTAATTCTTTCTGTGTTCTAGACAGAAGTCCTTTGTCTGAGGGACAGTTCACAAAGATTTTTTCCCAATTTGTGGGTTTTCTTTTGACTATGCTGGAGATTTCTTTTGACATGCAGAAACTTTGTAATAAGATGTGATCCCAGTTATTGATTCTGTGAAGCATTTCCCATGCGGTTCATGAATTCTCTACCTACCTCCATGTCTTCAAGATTTCTACCTACTTTGTCTTCCAACAGAGTTAGTGTTTCTGTTTCAATATTTAGATCTTTGACCCATTTAGACTTTAGTTTAGTACATGATGATAGGCATGAATCCTCTCACACTCTTCAAATCCATTTCTGAGGCTGTTCCTCAGACCTCTGTAATAACTGGAAAAGCCAAGAAGCTCTTTGGGACTGTATTATACCCCCACATGACTCACACTGTTTATCTCACTTTTAGGGGCTTTCTATGACTTGAGGCTGGTTCTGGGTCTATAAGCAAAAGCCACTTCTTTATTAAATGACCAGAGAAGCTCATTTCTATTTTCACAGGCAACACAGGAGATCACTAAGGTCTCTCCATACCCATTTCAGTGGTGGCTGCGCTAGTTTGTGTTCCCGCCAGCAAAGGGAAGTGAGGAAAGCCACACCGTGGACCTCACAGCAGCGCCACTGTGCAGGGTAGAGTGGGACCAGGGCACCCTGCTGACTAAGCAGTGATCCTGGGTTTGGTGGGCAGAGGGCCCAGCACAGCCTGGCTGATGGGAGAGGAGTTTAAAGCCAACCTGAAGATTTGGTTGCCACAGCAAAACACCTCATGTTAATTTATAAAAATGGGGCAGTAAGTACACCTTCCCTGGTGGTTCCCTGTGCCCGACCAGGTTCGCCACATGGGGCTGCTGCCCCATCCCACCAGCACTGTCGCACAGCTGGTCCTCATTCTCAGAGACAGGCAGTGAGGATGGGGTTGACTAGATGCTGCGGGTGGACAGCCCAGCCTCACTCCCAGCCCTGCTGAGGGGAGAAGCCTGCTCCACCAAGCTCCTAGAGAGCTGGAGGTCTAACACTTCCTTAGTTTGCAGACCAAGGGAGAGGTGGGCTCCGCCCTGTCCTCTCCTTGTCTGTGCTGTCTTGAACTCACAGCATCCACAGGAACCAGAGAACTTGACTGAGGGCAGGGGTGGAGTGGAAGGTGGTGTCAGCGGGGTTAAAGGGCTCCTTACCAACCATCATGGTGCCAGACCTGAATCTGCAAATGATGTCGTTCAGGCTCTTTGCATTATGGAAGCCGTAGCCTTTCAGAAGTATTTGCTTGTTTTCTACAAAGACAATGTTTAAGGTGTGAGGGAGGAGCTGGGTGCTACCTTCACTCTGAGCCCAGCACTCACAGCAGCTGCCTCCAGGGCAACTCCAAGGAGCCATTCCTTCTAGGTGGCAACTGTGTCTCAACAGAGTCCCCCAGGCCAAACCCACATCTGACGTCATCAAACTTCCCTGTGGATGTAGCTGGGCCAGCCTGGCACATGCGAGAACCCTCCTCCCACCACCCCTGGCCAACGAGTTCACTGAAGGCACCCAGCTTCCAGAGACCAACTCAGCCACAAGCTCTTCATCCAGAATTCCATGAGTCCCACTGAGTCCTAGGAGTAGGGTCCTGACCCAGGTCTTCTGGCTCTATATCCCAACTCCTTAACCTGACAGCAGCTTCCTGGCCCAGGTCTGGATTGGCCCCAGGTCAGCTGGCCCAGGACTTTGATCAACAGCAGCCTCTGCCTCGGCCCACTTGATGCCAGCCTGAGGACCTGGCCCATTCTATGTCTCCTGGGGCCCAGGCTCCTGCCTTGGCTTCCCCTCAAGTCCCTGTCACTGTGTGAGGCAGCTCTGCACAGAACACCCAGTGGTGTGGCAGGTCAGCAGCGGAGCTGGTGTCGGGAGGCACCTGTCACCTCAGCTCTGCAGCTGGGAGGAAGCAGTGACAGCTGCTGTCCTCACCTGGACTTGTCTGGCTGCCCAGACATAAAGGCCTGTGTGTCGGGGACACATCAGGGACATGCACAAGCTGATTGGGCTGCACCGCGGTCTGCTTCACACCAGAAGCAGGAGACACCCCAGGGGAGGGTCCCCAACTGCCTGCACCCCAGCCTTTCCCTTAGACCACAATTAGGGTCCTCGGTACACTGAGGCAGGGACCTGGGCTGGACTGAGGGTATCCTTGTGACTTCCAGCCTTGGGGACAGGCAATGACATTTCCCCACTCAAGTGAGGTGTGCCCTGGTTGTCACTGTGCACACTTTTGTCGTTGTGGTTGTGTCCTCTTTGCCTGATCCCGGGGCGGATGGCGAAGCATGTGCCATGATGGCCTTGTGGATGAACGAGCTCCACAGGTATTTTAAATCCCAAATCAGCTTGTCCACTCTGGAGTGAGCCTGAGTTACCCTTGATGTCCTCGGTCAGCTCCCTTCTCTGAACAATGCAAGACGAAATGCTCCAATTCGAGCACCAATATCTACTTATACCTCCTCAAACCATACCGAATCTCCACATAAACACAAGGACAAGGCCATGCATCTGCCTAACATGATACAATTATCCTGTAAACAACTAAAAACATCAACAGTGCTCGCGTTGCTCAAAAGCCAAGGTAAAAAGTGCTCTGGGACTCAAGGGAATTACTGAACTCCTGTAGGAACTAGAAATAAGTCCCTCACTCCTAAGGGACAATGACACTGAATAAATATTTCCATTCCCAGGAGGAAGAACGGAGAGAATAGCCAGACCACAGTATGCGGCAAAAACCCCAATGTGAAAATCAAGTACGGAGTCCCCTGTCCAGTAGCAGGGTCACACAGTGACCTGATGTGAGTTCCACAAGAAGTTGACAGCTCCGTCCCTGTGGCCTTTCTGCCTGTGGTTCACGCAGCCTCTCTCTTGGGCTGACTGTGTGTACCGCCTGTGGCTCTCCTTGGAAGACATTACATGTTCCTGACATCTCTGGTCTCCTGGGGTCTCCACTGCAGTGTCAGCAGCACACCCACAACTCTATCACTCTGTCAGGGTCTCTGGGACTTCACGACCTGTCACACTCTGCCTGGCCTCCAGGCCTTCCTTTGAAATCTGAGTGGAAATCACTCTGACCCCATTCTTGCATTTTGCCTGCCTGCAAAACCAGCATCTTATAGCTAATGCCAACGCCTGCTGACAGCTTAAGCAGGCATCCCGTCCACTTGCACCGTGGCCATAACAGCCTCTACATGCCTGGGTAACCAAGCATGATGAACCGAATCCTACAGAACAAATTTCACAGGAGGCCCAGCAGCTTGTCTCTCAAATGCAAGGACTAGGCACTGTTTGAAGAATGAGTTCTTGCTGAATCCTGATATGCCCTCAAGGCTTTTTTCTTCTTGTCCTAGAGCAAAGTAATGGTGATAATTTCTTTGTAATGGTGATAATTTCTTCAGCAACCTCACCTCCTTTGACTCCACATTTTGTTAGGGGTTCCTTGAGAATCTTTAAGATACTGTATTGTTTTCCAACTTTACAATGAAATTTTTATTATGGGATAAAATGACAGTAATTACGTACACACACACACATACACACAGGCGACCATTCTCTCTATTTGCCTCCCAGTGAATGTACATTATACATATACAAGGCAGAATCATCCAGATTGCAAACTCATGACTTATTCCATTACATACACAAGCCACACAATTTCAAATACACACGCAGCATACCCACAATCCGCACACTGCACATGCTCTTGTGCCCTTACCATATATAAATACATCTCATATTTCCTGAAGACACCCACAACACAGAACATGTATCACATTCTTTTCACACATACTACCCTAAAAACACAACATATACCCCCTAAGACCCATACACACCCATAGACACTGTAATGGTTGACACACTGTCAACTTGAGAAGTTTAGAAAGTTAAATGACTCTGCAAAGAACCAGGATCCTCACTTTGTAAACATCCTCATCTCGGGGAAGAAGAGGGCTTGCAGATGATGTGAGTGTTACACCTGCCCTAAGTAGTGGTAGCCTGTTTACAATATAAGAGAAGAAAAGAATCTTGTTTATCCCCTTTTGATCTTGTTGCTTTGCTATTTTCTGGTGCCTTGAACTGTTGCTCTGAGTGCCATGCCACTCTGCCTTGGATCTACCTGATTATGGACTGAAGCTTCCACAAACTGTAAGTTAAACAAACATTTCCTCCTGTCACTTTGAGTGCCAGGTATTCTGTCCCATCAATTAAAGAAAACTAACTACTACGGAATTTGTTACCAGAGACCTGGGGTCGGTCATTGCTTTAACTCTATCTGACCATGATTAAACTGGCAGAAGAAATTTCAAGGCAGTCAAATGTTGAGATGGCAGCATGGATATTGTTGGGAGCTTTCAGAAAGATATATGTTGTGAATCAAGAGTAAAGAGCCCAGCAGGATGATTTAAAATGTTGTGAATTTGGTCAGCAAGAAAGCTTCAGTAAAGCTGTGCACTACAAAGATAGAGCCAAAGAGCTCTCAATTACTAAGAAGGAATATAAAACTATAAAAGGTGACCTGAGAGCATCACAAGAAACAGCAAATCTGCACCCTCTGCAGCCTCAAAACTGCAAAATTGACTTTCCTTTGAGGAGAAAGCTGCAGAGCACCATGCTCCAGAATGGTGGTGGCACAGAAAATTTGTTCCTCAAAATTGGATTCAGAGTGCTGAGCAATCCAGGCACTCAACCTCTACAGCCAAGAGAGAGGAAAACCTGGCTATTGCTCCAGCTGGCAGAAGACCATCATCCACGTGGTGCTGGTTTTAGCTGCGTGCAGAATGCAAAGGTTGTGGGATTAAGCCTTCCACCTGGATTCCAGAAGCCTGGGAGGGCAATGTGTGAAGCTGAGGGTGAATCCAAAGATGCAGTGGAGACTCCAGAAGTTTGGAAAATATAGATACATGTATCATCTAAAAAAAAGCTGCAAGGAGGAGCAAAGTGGGCCTAAGAGAGAAGCTATGGAAGCTACAACCACTTGATGGACCGCACAGGCAGAGCCACTCAAGCCCTGTGGACCTCATTATTTATCTCAGATTGTCTCAAATGGTACGCAGGGAACTACAGGACTTAATGTTTGTTATGATTTGTTTCTAGATGGCCCTCCAAGCCTCATGCAATCCTGGAGGCAGCTGAATCTAGCGTTCGTGATTGGTTCATTGTCTAGCACTGGGATTGGCAGTGTGAATGCTGCACCCATCCAGGGGTGGAGCTGGCATAGTGTAAGGTCGGGAAGGGGGTGTGCTTTGCTCTCTTTCCCCTGTTCACTCTTGCAGCTTGCAGTCACCATGAACAACTGCCCCTCAGCCACAACCACCCTGCCTTAGAGCCAGCTGAGGATGGATGGAAACCTCCAAAAGCTGCAAGAAATAAACTGTTTCTTCCTTCATGTTGGTCATCAGGTATTTTGTCTCAATAACAAGAGAAAAGAAACCAAGACAATGTTCGTATTGCTGGATTTTGGACTTGCTTTGGTCCCAATCTTATCTCTGTTTGTAACTTTTTGGAATCTAAATGTTTATCCTGTGCAGTTGAAAGTTGGAAGTGCTTAACTTTCTATTTGTACAGGGGCTTGCAGCTAAGAGTTTATCTTGCATCTTGAAAGAGACTTGAGACTTGCCCTTTTCAGCAATGTTGAAACAGTTAGGACTTTGGCAACTCTTGCAGATGGATTAAAATGCCTTTTACATAAAGGAATGTACCTAAGTTTGTGGAGACCCAGGGGCACAATGTTATGGTTATAATATAATAAAATGTTGATAGACTTAATACTGGTTTTTAAGGATTTTTAAGTCTGTTCAAGTTGTGAAATGATAGGAATAAACATGTCTTTGTACCTGGAAACTGGTTTAAAGAAATGTGTCTTATTGCCAAATTGACAAGGGGTGGACTGTAATAGCTGATACATTGCATCAACTAAATGAGCCTAGGTCCCCAGTTTTTAAACATCCTTATCCTGTGCAAGAGGAGGGCACAGAGATAGTGTGAGTGCTCCACCCACCCTAGAGGGTGGTAGCCTGCTTACAATATAAGGGAGGAGAAGAGGCTTGTGTGTCTCCTTTTCTTGTTTTTGCTGTCTTTTGGCTGCTTGCACAGTTGCCCGTGTGCCATGCCACCATGCCTTGGGGCCAGCTAATTACAGACTAAAACTTCTGCAAACTGTGAGTTAAATAAACCTTTCCTTTCTTACTTTTGGATGTTGGATATTTTGCCTCATCACTGAGAGAAAAGTGAGGCAGACACTGTACACCCACATCAGTGTACCATGCCCCATACTCCCTAAAGACATGCTTCAAACACACACATACACACACCGATCCATAGCACTTACATATTAGACCCCTACCACATACCATATACTCCCCAGGGTACTAACAACATACACAGAAACCAAAAACACCATGCATATTACACATGTACCACATGTAGCTCATACATCAAGATCAATATGTACCACACACAACAAACATAACATACTATATAAGATACAAACGTATGCACACAAGACACACAAATCATAGATCAAGTACTTACACCTCTGCCAGGGCACACAAAACACCAACACAGAACAAACATACCCCAATACTCACACCACACTTTACGCATCACCTATACCACTCACCCACAGACAACTCACAACACACTTGTGTTCGTAACTCCCTACACCCCAGCTCTCACCGAGGCACAAAGGAGAAGGCTTCAGAACCCTGAGTTCCAGACAGGCCTTTGTTCCAATCTGAGTCAGGAGAAAGAGCAAGAGCGTGAGTCTCGGACCCTGGAGAGACACCACTGCCCTGGCTCACTCCCTGCCCACTCACGCACCTCGTCAACTACAGGATGCAGGTCTAAGGCTGACCCTTTTACGTAGAATGCATTCTCTGGACTATCTGCAATTGCTTTCACCTATAAGAAAGAGGAGCACATTACAGTACAGTGGGTAGGGACTCAAGAATGCACCAGGGCACCAGAGTTGAGACACAGCACCTTGCCCTGGGGACCCAGGGAGAGTGGAGGACCAGGCACTCAAGAATGGATACTGGCAGCCCAGGCTCATGATACAGAAAGCACTGCCATCTGCCCTGTGGGGTGCTGTGTACTGAAACCTCTTGATCTTGCTTGTGTGTCCACCTGGTTTTCCTTTTTACCTATGTCTTCTTAAGTCCCAGGAAACCATATTGGAAACCTGTCCCCAGCAAGGCTACAGAGTGGACCTTAGTCACCTGGTCTTCGTCAGCTCGGTCGACACCGATGCAGTATACGTACGATCCCATTGTCCGAGCCCTGGCAGCCTAAGGAAGGGAACAGGGTGAGCCTAACCCATCAAAAGGCACGCAGTGGAACAGCGGAAACTAAGACAGACCCACTCACCTCCATCAAAGTCTGTTTAAGTGAGATCGGATCCAGTGGTCTACTCACCACAGTAATGATTAGGCTAGCTACCTTCTTGACTGCAACAGAAGAGGGACTGGTAAGCAAAGTACAGAAGTGACCAGCAGAAGGACCCAGGATCACCACAGTCTTTCACACCAGTACTGCCCACAGCAGACAGTCTGGGTTCTCCTCGAATTTCAGGTTCCTGGGACATGAGCCCAGACCCCAATAACCACCTCACAGAGATCCCAGAATGATAAGAGGACCTCACCCAGACCCATTTTACAGATGAGAAGACTGGTGTTCAGGGTCCTTCCTACTGAATGCCTAAACCCTCACTGAGCCCCCAGAACTTACACCTTCCACCCTAAAGGAAGCCCAGCCACACACCCACAAAACCCAGCCCACTTGCAGAAGAGCTCTGGGAGGAGGATGGCTTTCGTGCCTGCTGCAGGCACAGTGTAAGGTGTCCTGTTCAGGACAGTGCCCCAGTTGCTGGACAGAGGACCCCATTCCTCTTCCAGTGCCATCTATATCCACTCCTGCCCAGTGCTGCCAGCCCACAGTGCAGTGGGATGTCTGTCCTGGGCCACGCAGCTGTTTGAATGGTCTGAGATGCAGGGCCAGGAGCAGAGGATCAACAAAAGATGGGAACAGAGAAAGAGAAGACGGTCTGTGCCCTGGACAGCGCATGCTCCTCACGCTGGTCCTCGGGCTGCTCAGGCCCCGGACTTTCTCCTTCTGCATACAGAGCCCAGTGCAGGTCCAGCAGCCTAGAGTGACCAAGCCTCCTGGGTGGACCCACAGAGCCTCCTGTCCTGTGAGAGCCATGCTGAGGCAGGCACTGTGTCCATGCCCAGGATTGAGATGGGACTGGGAGGCACTGGGCTCCCACAGCTGGCGTGGGGAGCCGTAGGGTCTGCTCGCAGAGCTCCCCAGGGTGCGGCCGGCTCCCTGCAGCCTCCCTGAGGAGGAAGGCAGGTGTTTACCTCCGAAGTTGTTTCTTGCGATCTGAGAATTTGCCTACGAGGAAGGGGAGACACACAGAGGAGAGGAGTGAGGCAGTGCAGTGAAACTCAACTATGAGCTAGCACTGAGGGGCGGCTGTGGGTGTCCACACCTGCTTGATTCCTTCCTGCAAGTACATTTCTCCTTTCACACGAGTCCGTTGAACTCGGCGAAGTTCATCAAAGATCCGAAATCTGAATAAAATTGAAAAACAGTTGAAGGTGAGGAAGAGTGCCAGGCAAATCATCTGATTGTGATGTCTGAGGAAACGTCACCCCCAGAGAGGTCTGCAGTATCCACTGATGTCAGACAGTGTATAGCTTCCGACTCGGAAGACTTGCCGGATACCAGGACACACCTTGAGTTCAGCAGCTGGGGGAAGCACAGAAAGGAGAAAGCTAGAGTAAGCAGTGAAGCCAAGTTGTCATGGTTTATGTCTGTGGCCCCCAGGCCTCATGAGTTTGCATTGTGTATTTGTGATTGGTTCATTGGCTAGTGCTTGGATTGATGGTGTCAGTGCTCCACCCATAAAGGGGTGGAGCCAGAATGTGATGTAATGGCAGGAAGAAGGTGTGTCTTGCTTTTTGCTGGTTCTGGCTTGCTGTTTGTAGCCGATATGAACTGCGGCCCAGTCTTGGAGCCAACTGAGTATGAACTGAAACCTCCAAAAACTGTAAGAAACAAACCTTTCCTTTCCCAACTTGGGCTTCAGGTATTTTGTGTCAGCAACGAGTAAAAAGTAACTAAGACACAAGTTTAACCTTGTGTGAACGCCCTTGTGTTACTGTTCACAGCATGGTGGAGCCATGCATTTTCCCAGCCAGGATGCAGCTGAGAATCTGTGATAGTAATAACAAGCAGACCCCAGTCACTAGGGAGAGCCCAGCCAATTCCAGAGAATGAGTCACCCATGCAATGCACAAAACTTTCCAGAAAAGAAAACCGGAGTGGGGCTGTCCATGGACAATTCATCCCAGACACCACTGACCCCAGCCCCAGGGATCTCCATGGTTTCCAGGACACAGCCTGGAATCTAACAGCAAAGAGAGCCCTCGACCATGACCATGAGTGGGGAGCCCAGCCCGGGCCCAGAGACCCGGTTACCCTGCTCAATGCAAAAAGGAAAGACAGAGGGACAAGTACTGCTTAGCTCTCAGGCCGGACACCGCTGCCCACACTGCAGGCAGAGCCTCTTGATTCCTGCTCTCTGGATCGGATCTGGGCACTGACAGATACCAAAAAGTACAGTCAGAGGTGTGAGGTGCTGTACACTAGCAAAAAGAGCTTCGTTATGTTTGTGTTATGCCTAAGTTATATGACCAAAGTACCTGTAACACTGCAGTACTGTTCTGTACCTGTTTTTTTCTTTCAGGGTGACTTAATTGATATGTTAATCAATGCTCCCCTCTGTAAAGAATTGTAAATCCTTGGGAACCGGACCTAATTGATATGTTAACCATTTCTGCCCTCTACAAATAACAGATGTTGTCTAAAATTGAGTGCTAAAATAAGTTGACAAAGGATTGTTAATTCCTGCTAGACTTCTCTGTCCTCTACTAAGGGAAACAAAGGTATTCCTCATTCCTTAGCAGATTTCCTGATCCACGCCCATAACCCCTTACTTTGTAAACTGTGCTTTCTACAAAAGGTGGGCAAAGTTTTGAGGGAGACACGCAGCTTTTGCAAACTCCAAGTGCACTGTGTTGCTGGACCCAGGATGAAATAAATCAGTGCTGCTTTAAAAAAAAAAAAAAAAAAAACATGTGTTGCCCCATTTTTGGACTCGAGGTTGGGGGCTCTGGGGGGCTCATTTGTGGATTACAAGATGAGGCAATTAGGACCTGGGCTCCAGAGTGGAGAAACAGCCTGCCCCTGACTGAGGAATCGTCATTTCTTTTCGGGTCCTGCAGGAAACCAGAGAGCTAAGCAAGCAGAGAGAAAGGAGCCAGGGGCTCAGGGACGGTGTGAGGAGAACATGAAGGAGAATCTGCGAGAGCCTGGATAGCAGAGGTCCTGGGCTGGAATTCAGCAGAGGAAGCAGAGTAAATGCCCCACCACGGGGACTGAGAAAATGAGCTGTTCCAAAACACAGGGGGCTAGAGACAGGGGGTCTGGGCTTGGCGGAGCTTGGCTCTCCAACCTCGCCCACAGCCAGCGCGTGAGGTGGACATGGCCACCTGTTTGCCCTCTCAGGTTCCTTCCCTTCCAAGGTGTAGGTGTGGGACTCACACAGCTGTGCAGGGGTACAGGTTCCTGGGTAATTCACAGTGATCTACGCTCACCCAGCAAAGTCTCCCTTCCCAACGGTCACTTCCTGAGTCTTCCCATACTGGGTTTTGCAGGCGAGGACGTGTGATAAGCCTCTCAGACTCTCCACCTACTGATTTCTCTTCTCTCCCTTCTCTCTGCCCCTTATAGAACTTCTCAAGCTCCTCTCCCTCCCGCTCCTGTTCAGGCACAAAATAACGCCATCAAACCCCATTTTTCCTTCCTCTGTTTTGTTTTCCTGCTGTGTCACCTCATTTCGTTTTGTTTCCCCCTCTTCCTCTCCTGATCTCTTCCTACTCTTTATCACTACTATGCTTTACCTCCCCGGGTTATTCAAAGAGTTGAAAACTTTTTAAACAAGTTTAAATTAAGTGTGGATACAGAACTGGATCTATGGGTGGTGTGATCGCTGGCAATTGTTCTTCCCTCACAGAACAATGATGGGAAACCAGCACTTTAAATAGAGAGCGGAGATGTCCCCACACTGAGACTAGTCAGTCTAGGAGCAGCTCACAGGCAGGGACGCGCTTACTACACAGATGCCTAGTGCAGGGCAGAGCTTTCTATCTCAGCTCATATAGCATTCAACACAAAAACACGAGACTCGTGAAAAAACAAGGCAATGAGGCGCCTCCAAACTTCATAACACCCCAAAATCTCACGGGTCATAATCTCACAAGTAGGAGAACTTCCTGACAAAGAACTCAAAAAAATGATGCCTGAAGTGGTTGAAGAAATCAATGATGAGACAAAGAAGCAGAAGAATGACTTACTAAGATGTTCAATGAGCTTAAAGAAGACGTAAATAAGCAGCTAAATAGTTCAATTAATAAAATGAGGGATGAACTTAAAACTCACGAAGCAGCTGAATGACGGACGCACGGAAGTCGACGCAGGACATGAATGACCACATTAGTAAACAGTTAGAGAGTATGAAAAGGAATCAAGTGAAATGCCAGAAATGAAAACCAGTGGAAAGTGTGGGCAGCAGGCAGGATCTGTCGGAAGACAGAGTATCAGGACTTGAAGCCAAAGGTGCGGGAGACCCAAGAGCAGCAGCAGGTGACGCAGGGGCTCCCAGATAGCTCCACGAGAACAAACCCAAACCCGAGGACCGTAGGAAGCAAGGAAGTGGCAGAGACAGAACCCAACAGTATGAAAAGCGGACCACTGAAATCATTGCAGAAAATTCTCTAAATCCGGGCATGAACACAACAGTAAGTGAGGCGTTCATAACCTCAGAAATCTTAATTAAAATCCCAGAAAAACAGAGCAAGAGAGAACACTAACAGGTGTCAGAGAAAAATGCCAAATAACCTATCAGAATGATAGTACAAACAAAAGACAGAAAGTGGAGGCGGCGGGAGAGAGGGGTGATTATAACCCAGCATGGACAAAGTATCTGAAAGTTATCTTGGTTTAGTGTAATTGTCCTGTGTGTCTTGTATGTTTTTTTTACCTGAGTGTCTGTCTGCTAATCTGTATGTATGATAATTGATTTTATAAAGACTTATTAAAAATAAATGAATCTAGGGGCTGGGGATTTAGCTCAGCGGCATAAGCACCTGCCTTGCAAGCAGGCAGTCGTGAGTTCGATCCCCGGTACCGATAAAAAGGAAAAAGGCAAAAAAAAAAAAAAAAAAAAAAAAAAATACATATATATATATAAATGCAGTGACAGAGATTAGTACACACCTTTGGGTAACAACCCCCGTGGAAGTGGTCGTAACATTCCAACCAATGGACACAGCCTGCCAGGCCTTGTACCAAAGGCCTGTAATCCCTGCACTTGGGAGGCAGAGACAGGAGGATCACTGCCAGTTCAAGATCAGCCCATGTACATAGTGAGCAGGCTGAACTATTCGGTGAGACGCTGTGTCAAAACACCACACACACACGCTCACACACACTTCTGACCAACTTAGCTTCTAACCAAAGTTAATCACAAAAGACAAAGACGTCCCTACCTGTTGGTAAAGGGAAGAATTGCCAGCAAAAAATAGTTACTTTAAAATATATATCAGCACACCTGATTTTGTAAAACAAAAAATCAGACAACCACTTGACCTAAAAAGACAGCTATCACTACAATCGTAAGTAGAGAATTTCAATAGTCCACACTCACAAGTAGGTCAACGTGACAAAACAATCAGCAGTGAACTACCAGAAATGAATTCACCCTAGGACAAATAGACTTAACACATAGCTATAGAGTGTTTCACCCAACAATAACAGAATTCATATTTTTCTCAACCTCCCACTGTAAATTTTTCAAAATACACTATATTTTAGGCCACACCTCGTGTCTCAATCAATACAAAATAGTTGAAATAATCTCTTGCATCTATCAGAGCATCATGGATCGAAGCTGGAAATCAGTATCAAAACAAACCACAGAAAATATACAAACATAAGAAGACTAAGTAATGCATTCTTGAATGATCATAGAAGGTATCAGGTGAGAAATTATGAATGCCTAGAATCAAATGAAATGCTTACAAAATACAAAAGGACAGTGAAAGCAGGTCTCAGAAGCTTACGGCTGTTGAGTGCCACACTTAAAAACCCTAATGTCAATAAATAAATACGTAAATGACCTAAAGGCGCATCTCAAGAACAATCCACATTGAAATTTGGAGAAGGAAAGAAACTACAAAGATCAAAATGAAAATCAATGAAATTCTGATTTTGAAAACATATAAAAAGGATCAATGAATCAAATGTTGGTTTGTCAACAGAATAAGACTAGTAAACTCTTAGCCAAAGAAGATCCACATCAATGCAATTAGAAATGCGAATCATAAAATTATACAGAAATCACGGAAATCCAAAGGATTATAAGAAATCAGGAATCAACAAGTGAGATTATGTTCATTTGAAATATTCTTTCATAGCACAGGAAACAATCAACAGAACGAAGAGGCAATTGACAAAATGGAAAGACATTTTTCCAGCTATTCTTCTGATAGTGGACTCATATCTAGAATATATAAAGTCAATAAACAGACCACTAAAAATGAATGGCCAATCAGAAAATGGACAGGTGGAAAGACACTTCTCAAAGGAAGTACCAATGGCCATGAGTCCATGAAAAACACTTCAGTGTTTTTAGTTATAAGCGAAACTTTTAAAAGATCTCTGGGATCTATCTTACCCCGGTTAGGGCGGCCATCATCAAAACTGCAGGGAACATGAACCCCAAAGTTCATGAAGATGAGGAGAAAAAAAAAAACCCTTGTACTCTGCTGGTGGGAATGGACTCACTGTGGAAATCAATATGGAGATTCCTTTAAAAACTAAAAATAGAAATTCCACCTGCCCCAGCTATTCTCTACTCCATAGAATCCTAAGTGAGTTAAAGTCATCATACCATAGTGATACAGGCACACCCGTGTTTACACTAGTGCGGTGCACAATCCCTAAACCACAGAAACAGGTGGCCAGCAACAGATGCACAAAGCGAAGATCACACACACACACACACACCACACACTGGCGTTGTTTCGGCCATAAAAATGAAGGAATGCGTGTCATTTGTAGGAAAACGGATGGATCTTAGACCGTAAAGCTAAGGGAAATAAGACAGAAACAGAGCGTTAGGTACCGCCCAGCTTCCCTTATGATAAACCCAAAATATGAATAAATGCATGAGTGAAAAAGCAGAGACAAAAAGCGGGAGGCAGAGTTCCCGAGCTGGACTAGCTGACCAGGAAAGAAGGGTGCACAGTGCACAGTGCGACCTGGTCAGGAACAGGTTCTGGGAGGCGAGAGGAACCCCGAAAACACAAAGGCCAAGCAAACTGTCTTCGCTAAGAAGGGTGCAAATCCCCCAGAAACGCACTCATCAGTTCTGCCTGGCACACAGACAGCCACGCAGCAGACGGCTGAGGACACATTTTCCACATTCCAAATCGGGCAAGCTACAGAGCAGTCAAGTAGCAAGCTATGACTCAATGTTCAAATTCCCCGCTGCAAATGGAACAGTTCATTATCACAAACATAGGCCACACAGACCGGAGGATTCCGGGCAAGCAGCCTGGTACTGTTCCATGTACTGGTTCCCCGACAGGAAGTTTATGTCCTCCTCTGTCCCCAGCCTGACAGGCCCTCTGCAGGTGGGAGGCTGATGGCAGCCCCATGGGAAAATCTGCTGTTTTCTGAGCTTGCACTGTCTCAAACAACACTTTCCTGGGGTCCCCACCATAGGCCCTGTGGGAAATTCCTGGTGAGGAGGGGACCCAAGGCCGTACAGTTTGAGAACAGGGCCCCAGGAGGACTCACATGCTGACCAGAAGCCGAGGATGCCCTGGCTGAGGCTCTGTCCTCCAGCAGGAAAGGCCTGGTCCCTCAAGTCATCAGCTCAGCCTGCCCTGCGCTGTCCCCACAGCACGGTCTGACCTGCCCCCACTGTGGCCACCAAGGGAAGGAGCTGGGCTGCTTCCTGAGCAGCACAAGTCAAGGACCTCAGAGCTCCTGACACAGAAAGCCTGAGGAGGGGACGTGGCCTCAGGCTGCTGAGGCGGCCAAGCCCTGTGCCCAGGCTGCTGGAACAGGGCTGTCAGAGGCTGTTAGAGAGACAGGGCCGATTGGGGCAGGCAGCCCTGGCTGTGGCTCTGGTGGCAGCACCGGGGCATGAAGCGGAGCTGGGCTCAGGCTGATGGACTGTGACAGGCTGAGCCCACACAGAAAGGCTGCCCAGAGCAGGGACCCTAAGGGCAGCTTCCTCCTGGAGCAGAGACCCTGCCATGGAGCTATGAGTGCCCAAGATCTGCCCCTCCTGGCCCTGCTTGGGGGGAGAAGCCATGGGCAGCCCTTTCCGGAGAGGCCCAGCCCAGCTCCTGCCCTGTGCCCAGCTTAGCCCACCGCCCCAACACAGTCTCCAACCCCGTGTCCATACAGGTCTCTCCCGACCCCCAGCACAGCACACAGCAGCCCAGGCCTCCCCTGTGCCCATGGAGCCAGCCCCTCCCTGCTTCTCCTGCCAGCTCGACCCAGGGGTAACCTCTGCCCGGACCCAGGAGTCCCCAACCTCCCACCCTCCCACCCTCGGAGCTGGCCTGTTCTGCTTCACTGCGCCCTGGCTTCTCTCCAGACCCCCACAGCAGCTCCCCTCATTCCAGGACCCACCCAGTCCTAAAGCCCACCCCCTTGCCCCTTGCTGCTCCTTCTTACACAAAGCATCCAATGCTACCCTTCACCCAAGGCGGTCAGTGGCTGCCAGCACCCCTCTGGGTCTCTGGGCACAGTGGGCCACCTCCTCCTGAATGCTTGCTTCTCAGACCTTCCCTCTGGCACTCAGACCAGCCAGGATCAGGACACAGCTGAGAGCAGCCCTGCTTGTGGCCCAGTAGTGGCCTCCACCACCCTGCACTCCCTGTCCCTTGTCCCTGGACAGAGAGTGCGACCTGTCACCGCAGGCCCCACACAGACCAGGATGCCTGGGGGAGCCTCGTCTGCTCCACCAGCCCCCTGGACCCCACAGGTCCCCCCAGGCAGCACAGGAAGGAACTCAGGTCTGGTGGACATGGGGCAGAGATGGGGACTTCTGGATGACAGGCTCTGTGGGTCCCAGAGCAGCCAGGGTGCGAGGGGCCAGGCAACAGGCCAGAGGTCAGCCTGGGTCCCTTGGAGTCCCGACCAGCCCACCCCCTGCACTGATGGCATCCCACGGAGCTAGCTGTGGAGCCCTCCCACAGCGCCCTGTGACCGGGCCCCAGCCCCCTGGGGTCACAGCTGCGCCTACCTGTCTGAGGTGAGCTTCATTTTGACGGTTGCCGTGGAGGAGTACATGATGAAGGACATGCGCGTATTGCCGCTGGGAGAAAACAGGGTGGTGAGAAGCACTCAACCCAGGATGCAGGGGCCCTGCGCCCACCCCTCCGTGCCTGTGGCCCTTTCAGAAGTGGGCTCAGACCTCAGTGAGGGATGCTGCAGCCAGGGAGGGTGCAGAGGGAGTCAGGGAGGCCTGAGAGATTTGGGATGCCTCTGCTCCAGCACCCCGACACACATAGACTCCAATGCCTGTACGCAAATACACACACACATGCTGACCACGGAGACAGACCTTGCACGCTCCTCACGGGGCCTCCCTCCACCTGGCCCGCCTCCTACGGTCCCCTTCTTTCTGTCCTCGCTCTTTCCCCTTCTCCCCCATTTCCTCCTCCCTCCCTCAATCCAGCTCAGGAAACCCCTCCCCTCTGGGCGCCATTCACACCTCCCCTTCCTGTCGCTGACCACTGACCACTGACCACTGACCACCCTCCATTCAGGACCTCTTGGCTGCCCGTGGTCAATGGGCTGCAGCCTCCCTGGCTGAGCTGCCCGCTGCTCCCCCTCTGGCTCCCGGCTCCGTTCACCCACAGCTGCCAGGGTTTTCCTCCTGGAGCACAGCCCTGACCACGTGGCTCCTGCCCAGGAACCTTCCAGGGCTGCCTGTGGCCCACAGGACAGGGCTCCACCCATCCCCCCTCCTGGCACAGTGAAGCCTGAGGCCTTGGTCCCAGCAACCTGTGAGGATTTGTCTCCTGCCCTCTTCTGAGTTTCCCTCATTCCCTGGCCTGAACACGCCACCCCACCCCGTCGAGCTCACCCTGAGGGGTGCTGTGACCCCAACTCCTCTCCATCCTTCAAGGTCAAGTTCAGTCCCCTCACCCTGGGAAGCTGCTTGGGATGCCCTCCCTCTAGGGGTCCTGGCCTCCCCTCCAGCCTCGCTGCACATTTGCTGTCCCTGTCCTCTGTCCCTGAGCACCCCGTGTCCAGGTGTGGGTTGCCAAGTTGCTCTGTCCTGACTTCCTCCCCAGCAGGGTGGGGGAGTCCTGGAGGGCAGGTGGGGTCCCTGCAGGTGCCCAGGCTCCCAGGCAGGGCAACCACATGCTGAGACCCAGGGGACAGTGCACTCGTCCCTTTTCCTCCCAGGCACACTGGGCTGTGTGCCCCACCCGAGGGACCCCACCCAGTCTAAGGGACATGCAGGGAGCCTGCAGAGTGAATAATTGTACTTTACGTATTTCTCCACCATGTCTTCCCAACACGACCACAGCATCGTCCAGTCTGACATGGTCTGTGATCTGAAAAGGAGGAGGTGGACTCAGGGCCTACGGTGTTTCCTTCAGGTGTGCCCAGCCTCCGCCTTGCCCGCCTCCTAAAGCTGCTTACCAGGCTGCTCCATACCCAACCCTGCCGGTCCCTGCAGGGGTGACTGTCAGGGCTCCAGTGAGCACAAGGTGACCACCCCAGTCATCTGCTGGGGTTGAGGAACCTCCCCTCACAAGGGACACATGGTGGCTGATCTGTGGCTGGCGACTGCCCATCTCAGGTGGGGGCTGAGTGGACAGGAAGTGGAGGACGAGAGCATGGTTGGAAAGGCCCCTGTGACCTCTGGTCCTGCCTGGGACCCGATTTGCCTTCTGTCTTTCTCAGCTGCCTGTGGGTGGATGGGAACTTGCACGACAGCCATCAAAAACCTTTAGTGCCACCACCAGGTGCAGAGGTGACCAGGTTTGGCCCGTGGTCCCCCTGGAGTGGAGGACCCTTTGCAGGCTGTGTCTGCCTCGCACCCTTCCTCATGGTCCCCACAGATACTTGCCAGTCCCCACATTTCTCAGCACCATGGAGGCACTTCCTATGGGAACCTGGGTCTCAGCAAGGGTGACCAGCACCACAGATTGTGTGACACCTTTGTCCCCAGTCTATAGTCCCAGCCTCTGCAAACCCAGGAGGACTTTTCCAGTAAGCAGTGCCAGGGGAAAAGGACAGGCCCACCACTGCTGCCCTGGTGCTAGCACAGCGGACACAGGGGCAGCTGCAGGCTCTTCCCGTCCACACTGCCCCATCCTGCTCCATTCTCTCCCACCCCATCCCTGGATGGACGGTGAGGGGCAGGAGGCCTCCGCCTGATGGAATTGCATATTTCTCAGCACGCACACCCATTTATTGGGTGGCGATGTCCAGCTGTGACTCTGAATGAGGAGCAAGAATAATCAGCAAACTTGAATCTGGTGCAACTTAAATGCTGAGTTTCAAAGAAATACAAAAACGAAAGGCGTGATCGAGGTAGGCTGGGCTTACAGAACGCCACCAAGTGGGCCCGTGTAGAAAGTGGAAGACGCCCAGAAGCAGATAACACAGAAAAATAGCAGCCACACATGCCCCAGGTTTCATGAACGACACTTGCTACAAAGCCATCCTCCGTGATGTGCAATGACCATATTGCAAAGAAACGCACACCAAGACACATTGTTAAGTGGGAACAGGGAGCGTCATCAGGGCAAGGCGGAAGGGGCTCCTCAGCTATAAGAAATCTCACTGGCTATGAACCAACCAGTTGCTTGGTCTCTATGGCGACGGCCTCTCCCCATTCAACCAAAGATAGACTGACAATATTTTTTAAATTGTATGTTCCAGCCAGGCACTTGGCAGGCTGAGACAGGAGCATTGCAGCAGGTTCCCCTCTATCCTCTGGCAACAGACTGGGATGGCTTGCCTCAGGGTCTCCCCAGGTCACTTTACTGCCATGCTCTGTCTGTCTCCATGGGAGGTGCTGCCCCAGACACTGCTGCCTTTCTGAAGAAGTGGCTGAGAAACTGGCCCTAACGTGGCAGAGAAAGGAGGACCTACATGTGTGTTTAACATTCCAATATCCACAACCCGCAGGGAGCTGTGATTAACACAGCTCCGCAGGTTTGGCCCTAGTTTTTTGCAGAGGTGAAGCAGCCTTCTCCCAATATGCTAGAGAAATGTAGCCCCGGCAACTGAAGTTGTCCCTGATGACCAGCTCACGCTCTGGGGCGATGTCTGCCATGAATTCAAATTATACCATAAAATTGAATTTGGACCAACCAGCAGGCCCTGAATTGGAAGGCTTGAGTTAGACCAATTTGGACTAATAGAGAAGCTTGAACTGGACCAATCAGAAGGATTTACACGAGTCACAGGCCTGGGGCTGTTAAATAAGCAGCACTGAACTCACTACTCAGGGTGGCTCAGGAAGGTTCCTTCTTAGACACTGCTGGCCCCTCTCTGACTGCAGCACAGACCCTGTTCCAATAAAGCCTTGCTTTCATGATTCTGTAAATCTATACATGACTTATCCTCTGGGTAGTAGAGGGTCCCAAAGTCCTGTAAGTCTGCCTGTGAGTGGTTGTGTTAAAAAAGAGATAAATACTTCAGTTAGATCCAAAGCGTTCCAGAGATGAAAAGCCAGTGAAGACCAGCTAACAGCAGAATTGATCAGAGTCAAACAGCTGTGTTCAACATTTAACAGGTGTCAGCTGGTGGTGGCAGAAATCAGGGACCGAGAGAGTCAGCAGATGGCAGCCAGCAATAGCCTGAGGTTGACCAGCAGTGGCAGAGGCCAGGGATGAGAGTGCTGATCAGCGGTATCCACATTGCATGGTGTCAGCAGTGGAGCCAGAGCCAGCAGCGGTGACACTCAGGGATGAGCGCCAGAAGCACTCAAAGCCCAGGGCCACTAGCAGAGGTGCACTTTGCTGATTCATGATTCCTCTCTCACTCGAGCAAATGAACCCTTAACTGGCTGGCGACAGTTTTAGGTGTTATACATGAAAAGATAAAAAAAAAATTTAAGATATGTAAAGGGTAACGATGAATGTGCATAATTTATATGCAAAAAACACATGTAAAATAATATAAGATTTTAAGCGTCTGCATTCTTTACTCTCCATAGGAATCCGGGAACAGGTATCCCACAAACAATGGGGAACAATTTTACATGATTTCATGCAAGGAGCTTAGAGAAAAAAATATTTGTTAACTACAAAGCAACATACTGCCCCAGTGTCTTTCCATAATGAGGGAGAAACTCAGACATTTGCAAGTAAAAAAAGTCTAAGATGTTCACTGCCACTGACCTTGCCTGCAGGAAAAGCTAAGTCCAGCCCAACTGCTCAGGTTGAAAGGGAAGACACCAGACAGTAACACAAAGCCACACGAACACAGAGTGATTTCTGCTAAAAAGTAAACAGGTGAGCAAGTCTAAAGACAGTGTTGCAGTCTCAGTTTATACTTCCCTTTGTAAGTTTCCTACAGCATTTGAGACATCAGTGTACAAAATAAACGTATGCCTACATTTTGGGACACAGTGATGTGAATATATAATTTGTGGCACTGACAACAGAGACGGGGAGAGAGAGCGGTTCAGAAGTAGTTTGTTATATGCAGTTGAAGGTAAGTTAGCTGCAATTCACATTAGATTGTTACAGTTTTTGGATGATACCTATAATCATAAAATAAATGCATATAAATCAATCTATAAACAGGAAAATGAGAAAAAGAAGCAAAATACATCGTTACAGAAAAATAAATCAAATAAAATTGAAGACATAAATGGAGAAAAGGCAGAGGAAAAAAGCTAGAAAATCTACAGTGGAAAAACATAAAATGTCATAGTTAAGGAGTTCCTTCTTCAGTGAGAAGTCAGTGCAAAAAAAAAACAAAGTTAAGGGGTTCTTTATCAGTAATAACTTTGAAAGTAAATTGACTAAACTATCACATTCCAAAACATAGATTGGGAGGGTCTGACACTGCTGGCCATTTGAGAAAAACAAAACAGCTTAGACTTTATCTTACTCTAGAAAGAATGGCCATCAGGAAATCAAATAAGTCACCATTGAGACCCTCCCTCAGGTAGCCAGCACAGGCCAGGAGAAGCAGCAGCCGGCTAACCCTCACGAGCCCACGGCCACTATCAGGTGCCTGTAGCCAGCGTGGGTCAGGAGAATCAGCTAAGCACTCTTTGGAGAAACCGTGTGTGTCTGGAGAGGCCCACCCCGTGCCCACCACCTCCCAGGGAACCTAGGAGAAGCCCGGGTGCCTGACCCTCCACCGTGAATGCGTAGCCAATGCAGGGGACACCTTGGACCCCTCAGCTGGCTAATCCAGTGAAAACCAGGGGCGTGTCATGATAAAGGAACAAGACACAGTCATTGGTCTCCAACCCACCCAGAAGTAGCCCAGGTGACGCAGACATGGAGCAGAATGGAGATCACACAAAATGGAAATTTCTGAGACGATAGCAATTGAGATAAAGGAATGACTTCATGAGGCTGTGAAAGAAATCAGATCAGAAATAATATATCTATCTGAAGAAGACATGGATTAAAAAATAGAGGAGCATAGGAAAATGAGGGGAGCCTTGATGAGCAACACAGGGAAGAACCGAGATGCATGAAACGGACTCAGAGAGCTAAGCAAGCAATTAACAGCTCCACCGAGACCTGGCAACCCACCTCAAAGAAACTGAAGACAGACTTTCAGATCCTGAAGACAGGATTGCAGCTAGTGATCACAAAAGGAAGGATCGCTTAAAAATAACAAGAAGCCAAGAAATAACAATTCAATGGCTGCAAGGCAACACAAAGAAAAATAATTTAAGGTTGATAAGTGTCAGCAAAAAAGCAGAGGTCAACACAAATGCCATAGAAAGGCTCTTTACAGAAGTCATAGCAGAAAGCTCCCCAAGGATGGAAACAGGACCTGACAGTCAGGTAAGTGAGGCATACAGAACTCCAAATAGCCATAACAACAAAATCTACACACAGACATGCAGTAATCAAGATCTCAGAAATTCAGAACAAGAACAGAATATTAAAAGCTGCTAGAGAAATCAAACAGATCACCTATAAAGGAAAACCCATAAGAATCATGACAGACTTCTCCACACAAACCATCAAGTCAAGAAGCACTCGGAGTGAAGTATTTCAAATCCTGAAAGAAAACAACTTCCAGCCCAGATTGATGAATCCTGCAAAACTCTCTCACAATTAATGGAGAAACAAGGTGCTTCCATGACAAAGAGGAACTGGGGGAGTTCATGACCACCAATCCACCAATCCCTACAAAAATACCGAAGGACGTTCTAGAGAGGTACAGATGGCAGTGATTCCAGAAGCAGCGACAGAGGGAGAGGGCAGCACAGGGCAGGCCACTGAGTGGAGGAGGGGAGGAGGACAGGCAAAGAGAGAGCAGAGACCGGCAGTGCGTAGCCACACCGTTCATGCAGCTGGCCTCAGTTCACCAATAAAGAGGCAGAGTGGGCCAAGGAACAAGGCCCACCCATATGCCGTATGCGAGAAACATTAACTCAAAAGGAAATTCATAGACTCAAAGTCAAAGGAGCGAAGACAATGCTCCATGTGACAGGGAACCTGCAAAAAAGCAAAGGTAGCTTGTCCATCAACCGCAGAATAGACAAGAGAGAGACAGTCCTTCTATACATGGGAAGCTACTCAGCTACACAGAAGGGTAATTTTGAGGTTCTTGTTGGTAAATGGATGCCACTGGGGATCCTGCTCATGGGTGAAGTGGATCAGACTCGTATGGATGCGTTCCACTGTGTCTCCTACAGTAGAACACTGAGGGCTTCCTGGGATCCGCGACAGGAAAATTACAAGGGGAGGAAAGTCCCCAAAGGGAAGGAGCTAGCCAGTGCTGATTTCCGGTTATCTTGTTGTGAAGCCCTGTACCACTTTCAGTGCTTTGTTTTGATGGACTGTATTCTGTTTTGCTTTGTTTGGTTTCATTATGTCTGATAGTTTAGGCGCCTACTTTGAAGATAACGAGAGACCTCACGGTCGCCATTGTTGATTTCCTATTATCTTGGTTTGAAGTCCTGCATTGTGTTCGCTGTCTTGTTTTGACTGGCTCTGTCCTGTTTCATTTTGTTTGGTTTTACTCTCTTTAAAATAAAAGGGAAATCAAATAGTGACAAATGTTGGTGAGGCTGTGAGGAAAAGGAGGCCTTCTACATTGTTGGTGGAGACGAAACCAGCCCGGAGAGGGAGGAAGGAAAGAAAACACAAGAAGCAAAAGAATAGAAGAAAAATGTAAACAAACTTTTGCAAATAAGGAGGGAGAGAAGAGTTGAAGGGAGGGGAGAGGAGTCAGAAGAAAGAAAAAGCAAGGTACAGACTCGCTGTGGTGAAAGTCAGCATTGCCTGCATCTAAAATGTACCACTAAGTTACAAAGTTTTATAAAAGAAGAAACAGATCATTGACTACCCCCAAAAGGGGAATCAATATAGAGATTTTTCAAGAACACTGAAACGATGAAACTAGAAAGTCCATTTGTCCCAGCTATTCCTTTCTTTCCCAAAGAGTTAAAGTCACCATATTACAGTGATGTATGCATGTTCACACTTACAGCAGCAGAATCCGTACAAGCTAAACTTTGGAAACGGCTTATATGACCACCAACAGATGAGTGACTAAAGAAAATGTGGTATTTATATACAATGGAGCACTACTCTGCCATCAAGAAGGATAACTTTGAGGCATTCCGAGGTTAGTGGATTTACCTTAGGACTATAATATTAAGTGACACCCATCAGACACACAAGCTTAACACAGCACGGTGTTTCTCTGATGTGAGAGATTCAAGACATAAAGAGCAAAACAAAAGATAGAAAATAAGAATAAAGGAAATTGTTTGCAAGTGGGGAGGGGATCAAGATTTGCAAGGATTGGGGAGGGATGGAAGAGTTAGCAGTTGAATAAAGACTTAAGTTATGTACGTGAACCACTCTCCACAATAAATGTAATCGCCATGCACTGCAAACACGTACCAATAGGAAATAAATAAAATTTTAAAAAAGCAAAAGGTTACCCAAGTGTGTACTGGTTATGAGAGACTTCATTCCTAAAGGCACAAATGGGAAAGACAGATACTCCATTCGGATAGAAAGTGGAGAGAATCTGGGTGATTAAATAATATTAAACTAATGTAATTTAGTTAAGAACAGACAGGAGGGACGAAGAAGAACATGAAATACAGATGAAGAGGTCGGGCCACCGACGTGATAAACCAGTATAGAAAAGCACCAAAACTCAGAAAAATGTATCACAGAATTGATGAAGAAGATAGCCTCAGTGACATCAGCAGCTGGAAACTTCGTATCCAACCTTCAGTCCTAGAGGGAAGCAGACAGAATGTGAGGAAACAGGAAATAAAAGACTTAAATATCAATATATTCCAGCTGCGCCTGATGGGCACGCAAAGCACGGTCCATCAGACACGGGCAGGAAACCCATTTTTCTCAAGTTTATATGCAACATTCTCAAGGAAAGATCACATGCAAGGACCCAAACAAACCGCATGTATTTAAACCATACTAAACACCTTTTCTAATTTGGAAGGAAACTAGAAATCAACAGTACACAGAAAACTGGAAAGTTAACACACATGTAAAAATTACACATTCAAACACATCTACACCCCCTTGTCTTGTGGTGGTACATGTATGACTTCCCCTCGGGTGACATGGGACGCTCCCACCGGATGAGAGAAGTGACCAGATGGGACAATCACACGTGTACCACAGGTGATGCAAATCACCCAGCTGCGAGATACACAAATTTCACACCGCATGAGCGCGTTAAGGAGTCACCACGTCCTGCCTGCCAAATGCATCACACAGGGGATCAAGTCTCTACCACACGGGCCTCTGAGAACGTTCAAGACCCGACTGCGGGTGTCTGTGGACTATGACTGAATATCCCCGCAAAGTCTCGTGTGTTCAGGGCTTTGGGGATGGGACAGAGCGTCAGGGTCTCAGCTCCCCGGTGGATGGACCATGGACAGCTCCTGCTGGGTGAGGAGGCGGGGCCTTGCTGGGCTTTGCCCTTTGGGGATGCAGGGCACACTGAGCCTGAGTTCTGGGCTCTCTCAGCACCCCGGCCTGCTTTCCTGCTGCCAGAGGCTCGCACCCTAAGCCACACAGGGCCAAGGCAAGAAGGCCACTCACGCATCCATAATGTAGTAGAGATCAAAGACACCATCGCAGTACTGTAGCACCTGCTCATCCACCTTGTTCCACAACTCGACATCGGATTTCTGGGAGTACTCAGAATTCAGGAAAGCCGAGTGCAAAGACTTCCAGTTGATGCTGGGGTTGAAGGAGCTCCCAGCTCTCGAGAGCAGTGCAAGGAGCAGCAGGAAGAGCAAAGAGCCCGGCGGACGGCGACAGCACTGCTCCATTCTCCTGGCTGTCCCATGTGCCCTCTGGCACTACTGACCCTGTCCGGAGCCCAGAGGCCTGCTGCTCGGCTGCCTCTGCTTTAATGCTCTCACCCGTGCCCCCTGCAATCTCCCAAGTCCCTGAGCTCAGCACAGGACCTGGGGACACGGCTGCTCTGAGTCCGCCACTACCTGCCCACCAGCCCTTTCCCCACCTCTGAGCAACACTCTGGGGTTATGATGGACAGAAAAGTTGGCATGGTGACTTTGTGACCTGCAGCTCTGCCCAGGGACTCGCATGTTGACAGCATCAAGTGGGAGGTCATAGGATCTGTGTGTCATGGTATGATATGCGGCCTTCCTGTCCCTCTCCCCAGCCCTCAGGAGCCTGCTAACCAACAAAGGGCAGCAGTGCTGGCTGAGATCAGGATGTCGCTGTGGGTGACATCTCCTTCAGAGACTTGGAGGCAGTGAGGAGGGCCACTGTGTCCACCCTGGTACTAACCAGGCAATGCAGAGCTGGACAAGGTGGAGACTGTGCCCTGTGCCCTGTGCCCTGTGCCCAGATCCCCTGTGACACTCTTATCCCTGTCCCATTACAGGCCACCCAACCTCAGTGATCTGAAACCAGGACCATTTTATTGTGTCCCAAACTCCATGGCCAGACCCTCAGGAAGCAGAGTGCAGAAGCCCCATAATGGGCACCCTGGGAAGGCTGGGGAGCAGGATGGGACTTGAATGGCAGGGTTTCACACAGTTCTCTGGAGGCTTCATCACCTGATGTGGGGCACCCAGGCTGCAGGACCCCACAGCTGGGCTCCACTGGGACTGTTCATGCAGGCCCTGCACCTGACCCCCTCCAGGTGACTCGGAGTATGACAGTATCAGGGGTGGTGGCCACTTCGGAGCCCCAAGGGAAGACTTGTGCAAAGACAAGGTAAAAACAAGGGCTCTTTATGACATCAGCTCAGAAGTCACACCATGTCACCTCCACTGTGCTGGTCAGAGCCGCCACTGCCCTGCCCAAGTTCTGAGACAGGACAAAGGCCTAAATCTCAGAGGAGTGGCCTGGGCTCGGCCTTCTGTGACCTGCTGCAGGCCAGTGCTTGGAGACACGGCAACAGGGGCTATGGGGAGGACTCCTCACAGACAGTGTCTTCAAGAGGACAAAGGCACATTCATAGATGTACCTTTATCAGTTTTATTTTCCTTAGTTTTATGTGCATAAAAATGCTTTATGATGAAAAACCTTTCCCTGATAAGTCCAAAAAGAATCTCAATATATGTCCTAAAATTTACAGGTGATACCCAGCTTAGGTTTGTAGAATTGTTTTTCTTTTGTGAAGGTCTTTAACATGATAGAATGTCTTGGATAAAGGTCCTTTAGGGTTGGTACAATCCAGTACAACACATTAGGGTCTCACACTTCGTGTGCTGCATGATTTTTAATGGCCTAGTACTGTTTCTCCTAGCGATTGGACATTGGATGGTGGCCTCAATTTGCCTCTTCCTAGGTCCTGGTGGAACTAATCATGACCCTGATCATCCTGTTTCTTCCCCTTGTGAAGAGTTAGTTTTCTGTGCTGGGTGGCCTTTCCCTGATTGGAATGCTTGTTGTTATGGTTTAGATCAAGGATGTCCCCCGGGGGCCTGATGCACTCATAGATGGGGTCTGGGGAAGGTGACTGATGACAGGGATGCTATCGCTAAATTACTACCAGGAGGTGGGTTGGGCAGGAAGAGGTGCGTCACTGAAGGGGGACAAGGAAGGATAAGTATCCCCAGTTCTTTGCTTCTCTCTCTACTCCCCAGCCGCCATGACATGAGCAGCTTTCTTCTATGCCAAACCCTATCCTCATGCCTCCTCTGCCTTGAAGCCAGCCTACTGTGGACTGTATGTGTGAGCCTGAACAAACGCCTCCTTTACATTGTAGGTGTCAGTATTCATACTCACAAAAGAAAGTGACTAAGACCTTTACCTTGTTTGGCATTAGCTCATTAACCTTCCATATTTTGGATACTAATCCTTTCTCAATTGCTGCAAATACTTCGTCCAGTCTGAGCATTGTTTCTCCATTGTACTGGTTTTTCAGAAAATACAGGTCCTACTTTTAGGGAAGAATGCTGATTTGAGTAAGTATCCCTCAAAGGCCTCTGACTCAGAGGCTTGGGCTCCAGGTGGACTGTCCAGGACAGTAGAGGCACACTGTGCCACACATGCATGCCACAGCTTGCTGTTCGTTATCACTGAAAACTAAAAGGTTCGCCATCACTGGTCAAGGAGGTGGGGCCCGGCAGAAGGTCTTTAGGGCCCTGGGGACAGATCCTCAGAGAGCATTGTGGGACACCCACATTCTTCTCTTCCACTTGTCCCCCTAGCTCCTGGAATACAACTGGAAGGTGACAGTGAACAGGTGAAAACCAGAAAGGGAAATTTAGGGTAAGAGCCAAACTGCTCCCAGCCCAGGCGCTCCCCGCTTTCTGTGAAACATAACAATGTTGGGCAAAGCAGACAGAACAGCTGCAGCCAGGCACTCACCCCAGAAGCCAGTACCCACAGAGCAGGCTAGGCCACACGGTTCCCCACTGGGTTGGCAGCACCCTGTTCCAAGTCAGGTCCGGAGCCCATGGCCTTCTGTGAAATGCACAGAAACTCTCAAGGAAAGAGCAAGCTGAGTTACTTCCTGACCCCAGCAAGAGGGAAGAGACATTGCCCTGGGTACACTGAGGGCTCAGCTTGGTAAAGGACAATAGGGTGGCACGTTTAATAACAGAGAACAAACCACCAACAGGCACCACAGCCAGGTCACTGCTTGTCATGCCCTTCTGAGCTACTTTGCTTGAATAGGAACTTGAGACCTCCTGGTGGTGCACGGGGCTGTAGGAACCTTCCCGAGGCCTGCAGATCTGGAGTGGAGAATAGGATGAATTTGGGAGAAGTGCACCCAGCTCGGCTCTCTCTCCAGTAAGGCAGCAGTAACCATCAGCTGAAGAAGAACCTTCCACCGCTCAGACAGCTGACATGCAGAGGTTGCTTCCCTCCAGGGACTGAGAAAGAGCTGGTCTCCCTGGTGAATCAGAACACTCCTGCACTGTCCTCCAGAATTAAGTTAATGACGTACAGTGATCGTGAATGAGGAACAGCCTGGCACACGCCATTTCAAAGGTGCCATGCATCCTAGGTGTCTGCAGAAGATGACAGAATCTTAACCCATGATGCTTGGGTTTCTAGGCAGAGTTTAACTAAGGTTGCTCTAACCTTCTAGTTCATTGGCTCGCCTGTTTGTAAAGACTGGCTGCTGTGAGCTCTGTAATGAAGGCCTACTGCCTAAGCCATCTGCCAATCCTTGGGTGACCTTGGCTACAATGGCGTGATCTGGGAGTCAAACCTCAAGACTATTTTTTTTAGTAGCCACTTGGAGATATCAGCTGCTTGTTCTCTTAGAGTAGGAAAAGTCTCAACTCACTCTGGAAAAGTGTCACTGAACACAAGGAGGTGTTTGCACTCCAGCTTTGTGTCCTCTGAGGGAATCTGTCAGTGAGTCTCCCATTCAGTGTGTCCCTCCGTGTCAGGCAGGGTAAGCTAGAGAGGCAGGCAGGGAATGGGGCTGAGGATTATTCCTAAGGCACAGTCCTCGGGCCACAGTTGCCCACTTGATCACCTTCCCAAGATCCTCCTGTGTGAAGCAATTAGGTACAGATAACACAAAGAGTCTTGCTCAGGATGGTCACACGGGCCCCCTCAGCCTCTTTCCGTGGGCTCCTTAGCTTCAGGGAGAGCCCAGCCTCTTTTGACCATCTGCCAACTCATAGGCACACAGAGCTGCTCCTTAGTCTGAACCCTCTTTTCCCTGGAGAATGAGGGACACTCTGCTCTAGAGTGATCAATATTACTGTGACCAGTAACCTTCTGGCTCCAGCAACTGGGCCCCCCTTTTGGATGCTTTATTTGCCAGCTTATTCCCCTGACTGATTAAAGAGCTGTCCCCTACAGTGGGGAGCAGCCACCTCCTGAGGGGGTGCGTCCAGGAGGAGCGGGACCAGCTCCTTGAGGTGTAGGAGGTTTTATGCTGTTAGCAACCCTCCCTCTTTCCAAATGACTGCAGGGACCTGCTACACTACAAACCCATATTTAGAAATTATAGATTTCTCTCATCTTTTCCAGCTGTAGGGATCTCCCTAGGGCAATAGACTGCATTTTGGGGTAGAGGTACGTGCTGGGAGGGCTTTGGCCCCTTCAGTGTCCACCACGCTCTCTGTGATCACCTGCTCCCATCTGTGAACCCCTCTACATCTGGATCTGGAAGGTCGATTGTCTTGTTCAGTCATACAGTGATGTTACAGCCTACTATCCCCCACCATCACAGGTAGACGGGTAGATGGATTTAGGTGTGCCAGGCTCTCCGGGGAAGATCAAGAGTATTGAATAAATGAGCCTGGTACTGCATTCATCTCCCTCCCTTTAGCCAAGGATGCCCTTTTACTTCTAGAGCAGCTCATGCCTGACAAGGGGCCTCGATCTCCAAGGGAGCTCTCACCTGGAGACCAAGACGGTGGCCCCGCCCACAGTAGGCGCAGCAGGACCCTACACTGGGCATGGAGAGCATGTGGAAACGGCCCACAGAAGAGTGGTCTGTTAGGGTGTCTGTGTCGGGATCCAAGGCCCCGGTGCATTTAGAACTCACAGTCACACCAAGTCCAGCAAGCGTCCCTGCGACCACTGTTCCGGTCTGTCAACTCAGGGAGAGTAAGAAAGCTAGTAGTTTAGCAAAGTGGGCTCCCAGGCGTGTCTAGGAGGGTCACAAAGGTGTGGCCCTGGTACGGCACAGGTTCCCTGGCTCACCCCTCTCTCCCACAGTTCCCTTGCACTGCATCCCAGCCACCATGAACTAAGCGGCTTTGTTTGCCACACCCTGATGTCACGATGCCTTGGAACCAGCTGGTTATGGGCTGAAACCGTGAAGGAATTAAACTCTTGCTTCTTAAACTCAGCGGGTGTTGTACACCGTGGCCAAATTGTGTTGCAAAACATCAACAAAGTCATCTTTAATCCTCCTCAAATTGTCTCAGCTGAGTTAAAAGGCATATCAGCAGCAAGTCCTTGAGCACGCTCTCTGGCTCTCATAATGAGGTGCAAGCGCTTGCTGGACAGAGGAGGTGGGCGCCGAAAAGCTCTCATCTTGCTAAGCTGGCTACTGCCCCTG